GTCTCAAAGCAGAGTTCCAGTTTCTCTGTGGTAATAGATTCAACCTTAAGCCTCTCTTCCACAGTAAAGGAATGAGAAGAATCAAGACTCTCCTGTTTTCTTCTTGCTTTGTTTTTATATGAGAAATAATAATCACAATATCAGTCATTATTTTTTGTGGCATTTTTATGCTGAACTTCTTTCCAGGTGGTGTAGAATCTATAACAGGTGGTTCTATGCATTAATGCATCAGGTGATTTCAGAAAGTTACAAGGTTCCTTAAAATATCTCTTGATATTATAACACTTAATTTTTTATGTTTTCAATGCTTAGGTACTTCTTCATACATTGAATACTTTGAATACACTGGAAAAATTATCTAGAATTAAGTTAAAATTTCCTAAATTAAGTGTATTTACCTTTAATTTGAGTCAGTAAATGAGATAGTTTGCCAATGGAATCAGTATTTTTACTCTTAAAATAAGATAATTAGATAAAATGCACTTGAAATAAGAAGATGCAATTGTGTTTTCTTATTTTAAATCTAAATTGTCTTGTCCCATTGGCAAAATGTCTCTTTTTCCTCCTCAATGCAAGAACAAATGCACTTATTTTAAGAAAAAATGACTTATCTAGATTTCGATTTTTTTCCAGTGAAGTGAGCACTTGATCTTTAGATGTTTGACCGATTAACTTTTACTTGTAGCTGAGTAAGATTAAACTATGAGTATTAATACTTTTACTGAAGTACTATGTGTACTGTGGTGGTCAGAAATGTCTCCATGTTTCCTCAAAAGGAAGCTTGTAGATCTCAACCTCAAACCTTCTTTGTCTTTGGTGGAAATTCATCTTATCAGCATTATTTCAATGAGTCCAAAGTAATTTCCACCGCACTGATCTGTCCACATGGACGTGAACAGATACATCTTCATAGAATCAGATCCAGAAGGCCGGAGCAGCATTCAGTTGCGTCTGGACGGTGTTTGTCTGATTGGACATTAGAACCACAGCCTCAGTGTGAAATAATCCAACTGAAAGAAAGCTGTCCTCCTCTTCTAATTAAACCTCCTCTTGGAGTCACAGCTGTCCAGGGTTCATCCCTCTCATTTCAGAGAGAGGTCGGAGGTCGCCGATGCGTTCGAGGGTCAGAGGATCGTCCTCCTTCCTCCTCCTGTGGGACAGGATGGGCGCTGCCGTTCCGGCCGCTTGTTACGCACTGAACCTGGAGTTTGTCGGAACCTCTGACCCCTCAGCGGACCACGCAGGAAATTAGCGTCCAGAGATTCTGTTGCTCTGAAGGAGACGTGTAATTGAGTAATGATTATGTCGATGATGTTTGTTGCTTCAAGCTCAACAGGAAATACAGCTTTGTTCCCTCTGAGTGGAGAAATGTTTGAACTACGCTGTTTGAATCATTGTTTTATTTGGATACTATAAACTGGAATCCATCCGATTTTAGACACAACCGTCCTAATTCTCCTGCTCAATCATTACATCACAATTCTCTATGCTAACCTCCTTCCAGGTTGAATTTAAGAATCATGCTGATATCATATCAGGTCCATATCTGTATCAGTCAATACTAAAATGCTTTGCTAAGCAATGCAACCAGAGTAGTCATGGTAACTTCTTTTTTTATTTGTATTTTTAAACTTTCTTAATGAACTTTAGCATAATTTGGCTTTATGTATTCTGGTGCCACAGATCTATTTTCTTCCATTTCCAAACCCAAAGGATCCATAAAAGATGGATATTAAAACGTGGTAACTTTTCTGTGCCTTCCTGTTATCAGCTAAAAGTCCTGCTCTCTTACAGCCTTTCTGACCTGCAGAAATCAACATGTTCCTTTGAAAAAGCTCATGACATTCTCCCAATCTGTTACATTTAATTTTCTTTAGTCTATAAACAAATTCAACACTGAGATGTTTTGTTTTCAGCGCTGATTATAGAATGTCCATTCTCTTAAAAAAAAATCTGGTTTAAAATAATCAGCCGCTTATACAGTAGTCAATATCTTTTACTGATAATCTTTGTTCCATTTATTAATTAATTGTCTTTGTTTTTATTCTATTGTTAATTTTCTTTTTCTTTTAAATAACAAACAAAAACTTTTACTTCATAAGAATTTAGGTGATGACGTAAAAAAATGTGAACAATAGAGATTTAGCTAGCACAACTGCTGGAAAATAAAATCACAAAAAAGTAATTTTCATTATGTAGTTTAAAAAAACTTCATCTTTTGCATCAATTAGAGGTTTTACAGCTGTAACAAAAGATTAGATGAAATCAGATTAATTTAGGGATCAGATAAGCTTCTGTAATAACTTTTCATTATACAGATTAAAAAGTAGCCTTGCTTTGGTTAAGTTGAATGGATAATTATCTAAAAGAAGCTAATTTTTTTCTCTATTTTTCCCTAATTTAAAGATATATGGGTGTTTTACTGTCATGAAAGAGGACCTCAGCACAACCGTGTTAGAAGCGTTTAGAAAATTTGGCTCACAGCATATCTCTTCTTGTGTGTGAAAATATGTAAATGCGGAAGGTCGCTTGAAGATTCTCAGTCATCCAGGTCATTCGCCAAAAGTTAAAAAACAAACCACTAGACTTTGTTTCAAGACGTTTCTCTTCCCATCCAGGAAACTTTTTCAATTCAAAATGTCAGAAATAGAGTTGAGTTCCAGGTTTTATACAGTAGCCCCACAAAACCTTGTTTTTGTTTTGGAAACATGATCATTGAAATGGATAACCGGGTCCACCCCTTTGGAATGGGGGTCGTTTGGCTTCTTTATTAGCCTGCAATGCCCCATACCTGTCTATGTCTCTGAAAGGAGGTCGTTAAAGGGAATTGTTGCACTAGCTGAACCGGTGAGGTCTTCTGTTCCCCTGTGAAGCGGTTGGGGAACAGAGCTAAGCAACATATTCTCATTATCAGTGCGTATGATATCGTACGAAAAGTTATGCACACTATTTCGTACGTTTTGGACGTTTTTCCTCAAAAAAACAGATCAGTGCGCATGCGTTGGCAGACAGAAAGAAAAAGCAGATCCGCGGACGGACGTAAAAATGGGAAAAACAGTGCAATCATCACTTATTCATGTCTCTAACTGCGTTGCTTGCTGTTTTATATCTTAGGGTTAGGGTCAGGGTTAGGGCTAATTGTAATTTATATTCTATATTTGTGAATGGTGCGTCAGATGCGCATATGACGAAAAAAACGTCCAAAAGGTACGAAATTACGGTGCATAACTTTTCGTACGATTTCATAATGAGAATAGGTTGAGCTAAGCAATGTTTCCCAATATTTTCATCATCTAGTGCAGGGGTCACCAATGCAGTGCCCACGGGCACCAAGGGGCCCTCAAGGACCACATGGGGGGCCCTCTTCGTCTTCTAAAAACAGAAGAACTCACTCAGTGGGTTAAGTTTAATTATTTTTTATTCTGTTGCTCTTCTTTTTAATCATTTATGTATTATTTCATCATGTTAACTATTTCATCATATTTCAGTGGTTTCAAAATGAAAATATTAAAAAGAAAATTAAAATGAATAAGAGAATAAAATAAGAATAAAAAAGAGATTTTATGGATGAGATTTACTGTAGGTGAACACTTTTCCCTCCAGTTCATAGGTCAGTATTGGTAGCCATTCCTATGACTTGGTAGCCATGAAGTAGCCCTCAGCCTTAAAAAGGTTGGTGACCCCTGGTCTAGTGTTTGCAGGGAGCTCATTGGTTTAGATTTTCTTATTTTTAAAGTAAATTGGTGGTTTTTACGGAAGAGGATTAGGGCCACTGGAAAAAAAAAAAAGTAAACTGATTTTTAAATTTTATTTCAGTTTAACATGGGAAAAAAGTCAGAATTCTGAGAAAAAAGTCAGAATTCTGAGAAAAAAGTCAGAATTCTGACTTTTTTCCCATACTATACTGAAATAAAATAAAAAAAATCAGTTAACATTTTTTTTTTTTTTTTCCAGTGGCCCTAATCCTCTTCCGTAGGTTTTATTGTTGGAAGTAAACAGAAAATTTCTTTAGTTTCAGTTTTTCTGTTTCTGCTCATTGCAGCAACAGATGCAACTTGTCAGAAATACGTCACATCAAGGGTGTAACTCTGTGATGAAAGTTGGTGGACCTACAGTTACTCCACACAAACGCATTCAATAGGGTTTGTATTTCCCAAAAATTAACTATTTAAAAAAATACAATTTATGTTTATATGTAGTTAGAAGTTAATGTATAAAAACAGGATAAATAACAGCCGATTCCGATTCCAACAGCAATATATCATGCCTCCCTAGCATGCACACAATTTCAATTTCATTCATCCATCCATCAATCCATCCAGAAAAATGTGGATTGATTGATTGATGTTTTCCTTTTAGCTACATTAGTGAATATCCTCCTTCAAAACCAGCAAAATCAAATTAAGAAATTAGTCCCACATATTGCCAAAGTCTACTTATTGAACTTAGTCCTTCAGAAAGTTACGCCTGTGCTTCACGTTTAGTTTAAATGGAGGGAAGGGGAGCCACATTGGACTGTTAATGCATTGAAATGTTTCCGACCAGAAGCAGAGGTTGGTCCAGTTCTTTTTAGAGGTTTATCCTCTCCAGGCTGGGTTGAAAAACCTCTGCATCACTGCTGGTTTAGGTTCTCTCATTTGTTCCTGCTGTTATTTCTGCTTCAGCGTGTTTCAGTAAATAGTGAAAGTGAGCTGCAACATCTCAGGGACACCCAAAATGATGATTAACTGGAGTCTGTTGTTCTTGGTGGTTGAACATTTGCAGCCCGATGAGCTCAGCCTGCAGATTCATGTTTGACAGGAAAAAAAAAAGAGGCAGAAGAAAAGAAAACCAGGCGAAAATTGCTCAGCATTCCAGAAAACCAAAATAAACAGGAGAAGGACAAGGTCTGGTTTCAGAAACAGAAACGTCATGGAAGAGAGGGAGGAGGGTCGTACAAAAGGAAAGTCTGTGTGCCGAGGCTCACAAAGCCCCTCCCTGCTTCTGTTCTCCCCCAACAGATGAGCTGATGTGAAGACTGGGGACGAGCGACATAGGCTTAGACACAAAGAGAGAGAGAGGGAGCAGCTGGGAGGACGGAGAGCTCCAGTGAAGAGGAGGAAGGAGGACGAGCATGAAGACGCAGCTGAGGATCTGAAAACTGGTGAAACTCTTTCATCATTGTCATTCACTCATTAACTGAAAGCTTTATTTTAATTTTACCTCCCTGTTAAATGTTTTTTTTTCTGCTTGAGGAAAAGTTTTTAGATTATTTCTGCTTTTTTCTGATGTTAAACCAAACAGGTGGAAGCTACAGGTTGTGCAGCAGACCTGTAAAAGTTTTCCTGGTTGGTTTAATAATGTTAAAATGCATGCATTCATAAAAGGAACATCAGATTATAAAATGTTAAGAGGAGAAGGGAAACCAGGATGTTGATCAGTCCACTGGAAAAAAAATCAAAATCTAGATAAGTAATTTTTTCTTAAAATAAGTACATTTGTTCTTGAATTGAGGAGGTAAAAGAGACATCTTGCCAATGGAACAAGAGAATTTACACTTAAAATAAGAAAACACAATTGCCTTGTCTTATTTCAAGTGCATATTATCTAAAAACTTTAAGAGTAAAAATACTCATTCCATTGGCAAATCATCAAATTTACCTTCTCAAAGTAAGGGTTCATACATTTAATTTAAGAAAGTTTTACTTATTTCTAAATCGTTTTTGCAGTGTCCTGCTTTGGAAATGGTCCTCTATTATTCTTTGCACTGGAAAAACGATCTAGTAATAAGTTAAAATTTCCTAAATTAAGTGTATTTACCCTTAATTTAAGTAGGTAAATTACATAGTTTGCCAATGGAATGAGTATTTTTACTTTTAAAATAAGATAATTAGATAAAATGCACTTGAAAAAAGACAATGCAATTGTGTTTTCTTATTTTAAATGTAAATTGTCTTGTCCCATTGGCAAAATGTATCTTTTTCCTCCTCAATCCAAGAACAAATGCACTTATTATAAGAAAAAATGACATCTAGATTTAGATTTTTTCCAGTGTGCTTATTAATCCCTTGGATCTTTAGCCTTGGAGTTGGTGTCAGGATTATGGATGAAGCTCTATGGTACAGATGTATGAATGGTTTCAACCTGCAGTTGAATTCCAGATGTTTTATACAGAACATCAGTTTTATGGATTTTATGCCTCTGTGTCTTCAGTCCTAACCTGACTCCGCCAGATGGATTTGCTCCGCTTAGCCTATCCATCTGGAAATCTTCCGTTGATTGGCCTATGTTGGTGATAGACGGACCAAATAAACTTATCACATCAACGAAGCATATGACGTACTAACAGAGCGACGACGAAAACACAACCACAAGCCAGGCTACTCTTGCCGAAACCAGTCGGGAGAAGAGCAAAAACATCTTTTCCTCTGAGAAAAGCCTCCAGAGCAGTGTTTTGCTCTTCTTTCAGTGTAGAAATACTCTGTAATTCCGATAAAACTTGCTCGATAGCCACGCTAACGCTAGTTTCATCGGCTGAAGCCGCCATGTTCTTTAGAATGAACTGTCGCGCTTCTCGTTGCGTCACACCTCAACCCGCCTCAAAGCCAACGCTGATTAGACGTTCGTTTGGTGAACGGCTCCAACGGAGAGTCTCCAGACTGATCTGCGAGTGAAACCTTGAAAGCTCGTGAGATCAGGATGGTCTCACGAGCCTACTTCAGTCCTAGTATAATGAAAAAGGTTGCATGCCTTAATACTCTTCCACAATGACCAGAGATGGAAACTGCAATATTAAAGTTTGTCCTAATGTGGATGGAACACCAGCTACCCGCCCCCGCCTCCTCTCCACAGAGCTATTATGGTCATCTTAGTTGTTTCTTTAATTTTTTTCCTTGTCCAGCCTGTCAGTCTACGAGGACGTCAATGTCTTAGTAGCTCTACAGTGGGTCCATCCACTCTCAATGTTTAGATGATGGATTGAAAAGAACTCTGGGAGATCTTCACAGCTTTTAATATAAAGTTAGATCATAACCCTGCTTTAAACTGATCTAAAAGTTCCTAATTTACAGTGTAAGACTTGCACATCATGATGTGGTCTAAGCTGAGTAATGGTTGAGGCAATGCGGCCTGTTCATGATTTGTACTGAAGAAAATAAACATCATTTAACGACTTGCTTCAATAATTTGTGTTTAAGGTTGGGAGACGGGGCCAAGGTCAGTTTTAGGACTTAAGATAATTAGATAAAAGAGTTTAGGAGCAAATATGGGCCTGCTATTTACTCCTTCATCAGCTTACTTTACCCGGTCTGACATTGATGATGTAATTTTCCAGGTTGCCATGGGAAACACGGACAGTCATAGCAGCTTCATCTCTCCAGTCAAACCCAGTGGGTCTCTCAGGTTCCCTTCCACGAAGGAAGAGGTACCGTCCGCCCGCAGCTGGTGGAGGAGCAGCCAAAGCAGCGGGGGAAGTCGGGGCCGGGGCTACCAGAACCAGCATGGCTCCTGGCGTTATGAGTCTGCACCCAAAGGAGTCTCCAGACAGAACATAGCACCCTCTCAGAGGTTCACCCAGCATGATCGGTCCCAGGGCGGCCTCACGTTTGGATTTCAGGGAAGTGATGGTGATCAGGCGGCACTGCAGTGTGGCGGCAGCCCTAAAGTTCTGCTCAGTAAAGATGGGAGCATGAGGGTGGAGTTCACTAAGGCCGGGGTGGTTCCTGTTGAGCCACAGGGGCAACCTCTCTCCACCATTAACCAAGAGCCAAACCACCGCACCAGCAAAGGCAGTTCGCTCAGTTCTGACGGCTCCTGGTACGACTCGCCATGGGGCGCCGCCAGTGAGCTGACGGATAACGTGTTTGTCTGTGGACAGAGTGTCGACGCCAGCAGTGGCTACAACACCTGCTCTTCCACTCAGGTGGATGACATCTCACCTGGATTTGGCTCCGCCCTCCTGTTCCCTACGGTAGAGAACCCCAAAGGCCACAACAGCTGCTCCTCTGGCCGCACTGAGGACAGCGGCATCGGAGACTCCGTGATCCTTCAGCCAGAGCTCCAAGACCTGGGCCTAGTTTCACCGTCTGACTTCCACACCAGACACAACACACTTCCAGCCTTCCCCACTTCTTCAGACTCTTTCCTGCAGGAGCAACCAGTAACCACAAGCAACTCCTCAGTGATTAAGAGCGTCATCCAGGAGGAGGCATCATTCGTTGGAGGCTTAGAGACGCGGTACTTCTCCCACACGCTGCCAACCCTTAAAGCTGAGCCCGTGAGCGCCAGCATTTCTGGAAACAACCGAAAAGACTTCCTGAAAAGTCGAATCAGGCAGCTGAGCGACTGGACGGGCAGTTTGAGCCGGAAAAAGCGGAGGATCCAGGTAAGAACCTGTAACATAACATCAGATAAACCAAAAAAGTTCTTTACAATTAACCTTCCGCTACGTTCAGACCGCAAGCAGCAGGAGCAGCAAAAACACACATGCTGCTTCATTTTCGATGTTTGTAAAAGTTTAGTTCTGATGCACGGTTGAAGAATCTTTGCTGCTGTAGCTGCGCGGTCGAAAAGTACGTCTGATGTGCGTTGGGCGGAGCTACCCTATCCTTTCTTTGCCTGTAGCAATGGCAGCTACATTTGCTGTGATCAGTGGGTAAAAAGTAGTTTTAATGTGTTTTTATGTGAGAAAGTCCTCCTGAAAACTTCATCTGTGCAGTCAGTTCATCCGTACCACCATCCTGCTTTTAAATATTATTTCGCTGTCAAAGCCGCTCAGGCACTGCTCAGTGGCGCAGTTTGTAGCACTGCTGCCTTGCAGCCAGAAGGTCCTGGGTTTGATTCCCAGCCCACGGTCTTTCTGCATGGAGTTTGCATGTTCTCCCTGAGCATGTGTGGGTTCTCTCCGGGTACTCCGGCTTCCTCCCACAGTCCAAAAACATGACCGTTAGCTTAATTGGCTTCTCTAAATTGTCCTTAGGTGTGAGTGTGTGCGTGAATGGTTGTTTGTCCTGTGTTGCTCTGTGATGGACTGGCGACCTGTCCAGGGTGGACCCCGCCTCCCGCCCATTGAGATAGGCACCCCTCCCGACCCCAATTGGGACAAGCGTGTCAGATAATGGATGGATGGATGGACAGAGCCGCTCAGTCACTGGGATTCCCGTTCAACAGCAGCCTCTGGTGGTTTTCCGCTAATGTTCGTCAATGAATCTTTTGGCAACAAAGCTGAAATCTCTGAGAAAATTACCAAACCATGACTGCATAAAAAAAATAAAAGGGATAAAAATGCTAATTCATTCTGCAAAGCATGGCTGAGCCCAATAAAGCTAGTTTCCAGCGCAACCAATGGAGTGAAAATGTACAATTGGTTCTGAACTTTACAAACATACATTAGTAGTCATTCAAAATGTCCCCACTTTCCTTGATGGGCCCTTGGCTGGTCCCCTACAATTCCTTTTTGAACATCACTCTTTGCGCTAAAAAATTCTTTCTGTCATGATTTGTGGACATTAACATCTAAAGAGAAGCATCATCTCCTGCTCAGACACTGTAATTAAGTGAAAGGCTGGAGTCAGAGTAAAAAAATATGCACGTCCAGGAGAAGAAGGGGGAGGTCATTCCAGTGGCTGGAAGTTGGAGGGGATTTTGCTGGGAATTGGGTGGCCATTTTGGGAAGGGCCATTTTGAATGGCTGCTACTGTAGCATGATAACTAACACACCTGACAGTTTTTTGTTTTCATAAAAGTTCTCAGGAAAAAAAACATTTCATTGTATTTAAAATGTGCCCATACTTATTTTAGTCCAATTATCTTTCTCAGTATTTTTTTACTTCTTGAATGCATCGTATTTATTTCCAAAAAAGTAAAAAAAAAAAAAAAAACTATCAACTGGACTTTGTTTCCAAGTTTTAAGACGTTTTACTTCCCATCCAGGAAGCCTTTTAAGTTCAAAATGTCAGAAACAGCGTTGAGTTCGAAGCTAAAAGAGTGAATCAAAAACAACTCAATAAAGCTTGAAATTCCGCGCTGTTTCTGACATTTTAAATTGAAAAAGCTTCATTCCAATTCAGTTTATTTCTATAGCACCAATTCGCAACACGTGTCATCTCAAGGTACTTTACAGTTCAGCAGATCATCCAGTCAGATTGACTCATTGACTCTTCAGCAATCCCTCACACTGAGCATGCTTGTAGCGACAGTGGAGAGGAAAAACTCCCTTTTAACAGGAAGAAACCTCCAGCAACAGAAAGAAACCTTTGTTGGATTGGAAGCGAAACATCTTCAAACTTGAAAACAAAGTCCAATGGATTTTATAAAAACTTTTTTGGAATGACTATGACCTGGATGAGAATAATCACCATCATCATATCCACTTATATACAAAAATATACCTCTTTATAGTCTCTAAATTTATTGGAAAGTTTTACTATTTAATATTTTAAGAATTATTTAACTTTATGGCATATGGTATGTTTGTAATTGGGCTAGAAATTGGTCTTTATATCCAAAGAAATGAAGGGGGGAAAAAAACTGTTATAGCATGAGATTAAGGCCCCGTCCACACGAAGTCAAAACGAACACGAAACGCTAATATTTTCCAGAACGTTTGTCTTAAAGACTGAGACGTAAAATAAATGTGATCGACCACATGAATGCATGAAAACGCTGCAAAATGTATGCCAGGCCTGTAAGTGGCGCTGTGGTGCTAAAGCAAAAATAGGCGAAAACAGGCAACGAAATGTTGGGCATGCGCACTAATATTTATACAACAACCAAACCGGAAAACCGGAAAATGGCCGTGCGGGTCCATTTTCGTGGTTCAGTCAAACTCAGGTGCTGAACTATGTGGTCGATATTGCTCTGTTCTTCCTGGAGATATTCCAGAAGAAGAAGATTCTGTTGTAAGCCCGACAGCAGGGTGAGTAGCATGAGCAGCAACCATTCAACACAGTACGGCGCCATTGTTGTTGTGATACTGTGTCGCGCATGCGTGTTTAGAGGCGACGCTATGACGCATGCGTGTAAAAAAAAAATGCGGTTAGAGCTTAAAGATGGAAACGCGAAAACGCAGTTTCAAAATCTTCCCACTCTGAAGGCTTAATAAAAAAAAAGATCCTTTACAGACCCCCGAAACGCCGGCTTCGTATGGATGAGAGGCTGGTTTGGTGAAAAATTTGTGAATTTAGGCCAGAGTTTGACTTTGTGTGGACGGGGCCTAAATAGATAAATAAAGTGGAACCAAAGTCCTTTCTTGTAATAAATCAACAGATTTCTGGAATTTTTATCCCTGAATGTCATTCCCAGTGATGGGTGGGGTCGCCCTAATTGTTTTGCTGATGGTTGTTTTCTTACTCCGGCTCTGGAGTGTTTTCACACCCATTTAGCAGTAATGAAGGGGAAAAGTGTGGTCAGTAAAAGCAGCTCATAAACTCTAAACTGCTTCTGCAAATAAACCCCACAGGAAGCAGAGAGAGCTGCAGAATCATGCTGAAGGGTCAGTTTACGGCAGCTGTTCATCTGATTTAACACCTAAAGCCTCTGTCTGATTTCCCTCCAGGAGCCAAACGGCAGCGAAACCTCTGAGGCCTGCATCAACATACTGAACGGCAGCGCTCACTGGTCTTCTAACCCTCTCCTCCAACTGAACCAGAACCAGCTCCCTCCGGTCCACTGGGACTTCTCCGGGAGCCTGAATCAGAACCAGAGCAGCGATGCCCAGCGACAGAACGTCTACAGGAACTTCATGCAGGAGCTGGAGACGGGCTGCAGCAGCACGGCCGACCGCACCGAACCGTCAGAAGACGAGGATGATGGAGAGGAGGAGATGGACGAGGAAGCGGGAGGAGAGCTGGAGGTGATGTTGGAGAAAGATGAGGGAGTGGTGCGGCGAGCAGGTTGGCTCAACTTTAAAGCTCTGATCACCGTCAAAAAGGACAGGAAGCTGGAGCTCGTCTCCAGGCGGCGGTGGAGGCGCTACTGGGTCACACTGAAAGGTTCGTCCTTTGTCAAACCGAGAATCTGTATTTAAATCACTTCATCCAGGTATGAAAATAAACTCTGACAAGGAACACAGAAAGAACACAATAAAAACAGCAAACTTTGAATAATAATTTAAAGGTGAATTTACGTTCAAATCCTAAACACTGATCAGATAAAATGGATGAATCTGCACTGGAAGAAGGATTCCTACAATCAGTTTATTTGCACAGCCAGATGTTCATCCAGGTTTCCATTAATAATGTAATTAAAATATCAAAAGTACTTATTTATTTTCTTAAATTGTCAAAGAATGGTAAACGAAATCTTATAAAAATCTTATTAAAAATAAAAAATATATGGTGTGTTTCACATTTTCTCTAATAAATTGCTTGTCAGACGTCCTAATTAGACTTCCTCAGAGCAGACCTTGAACATTCAATTCAACTCAGTTTATTTCTATAGCACCAATTTACATCATGTCATCTCAAGGCACTTTCCAATTCACCAGATCATCCAGCCAGATTGATTCAAAATTTTCTATCTAAGGAAAACCAGTTGATTGCATCGACTCATTGACTTGAAGACAATGAGTCCTTATCCTTATTTTAGTGCATCTATATAATATAAATATAAAAAAAAGTCTAAATAACCAAAACTTTCACAACCCCCATGCAGTACCTCTGAGGACCCCCTAGGGGTCGCGGACCCCCTGTTGAAGACCTCCGCTATAGGATATAAATGTTTATAATAATAGAAATACTTGCTTGTAGAGAGGAGTTTATGACAGCTTCTTAAAAAAAAATAAAAATATGAGAGCATTAAATGAACAGACTGTTGATAATGGGAAAGTATTTTTAGTGATCCAAATTGAAATATTGGAATCAGATTGGAAGTAAAAAAATGTATCAGTGCAATTCTTATGATCTAATGGTTGAATAATTATATAAAATTTGAGAATTTAACGTTTGCTGAATGTCTTCATGCAGGAGCAGCATAAATAGGCCGCCTCCCACAAAAAGAGGAGGAGTCCCTGCAAAAAATCTAAATCTAGATAAGTAATTTTTTTCTTAAAATAAGTGCATTCTTTCTTGAATTGAGGAGGAAAAAGAGACATTCTGCCAATGGAACAAGACAGTTTACACTTAAAATAAGAAAACACAATTGCATTGTCTTATTTCAAGTGCATATTATCTAATGATCTTATTTTAAGAGTAAAATTACTCATTCCATTGGCAAACTATCTCATTTACCTACTCAAATTAAGGGTGAATACATTTAATTAAGGAAATTTTTACTTGTTTCTAGATCGTTTTTGCAGTGTGGCGGCCTGGTGGTTATTGCATAGATCTTGGAATCCAATGGTCTGAGTTCAAGCCCCACAGACTGCCACTCTGGGTCCCTGAGCCTTAAAGGAATAGTACACCCAAAACATGATTAGCCTTCATTTTCTACTCACCCCCATGCTGAACGACACCCTGGAGTACTTTTTTGATATCTCAAATGCATCTGGAGATCTGGGAGGCTTCTTGCTGTCTGCTGACATTCAAATAATGGAAGTCTATGGCGCCGGAGCCAGAAAGGTCCATAAAAGTCCACAAAAAACGTGTCAATATTCCTCCATACTGCTCGTCCAATGTATTCCAAGTGTCCTGAGTGGGTAGCGTCCAGAATTTACTCGAAACAAAGTCATTTAGAATGTTTTAGAGTATAAACAGTAGTGGATTTCCTAAAAGCGCGTTCACGACTCTGCGGAAACCGCGGCAGACCAAACCAGATGAAAGTGCGCATTCAGCTCGGCAAAGAACTCCTGCTCTTCCTCAACACTGAAGTCCTCAGACATTTTTATTTCGTTGTTTCTTTCTTTGCACAGATAAACAGCACATTTCTTCTTCTACGCTTGCATTATCAGCAGAGCAGACGCTGAATGCGCACTTTCATCTGGTTTGGTCTGCCGCGGTTTCCGTAGCGTCATGAACGCGCTTTTAGGAAATCCTATACACTACTGTTTATGCTCTATAAACATTCTAAATGACTTTGTTTCGAGTAAATTATGGACGCTACCCACTCAGCACACTTGGAATACATTGGACGAGCAGTATGGAGGAATATTGACATGTTTTTTGTGGACTTTTATGGACCTTTCTGACTCGGGCACCATAGACCTCCATTATTTGAATGTCAGCAGACGGCAAGAAGCCTCCCAGATCTCCAGATGCATTTGAGATATCAAAAAAGTACTCCAGAGTGTTGTTCAGCATGGGGGTGAGTAGAAAATGAAGGCTAATCATGTTTTGGGTGTACTATTCCTTTGAACCCACACTGCTCCCCCGGCGCCGCACAGTGGCAGCCCTCTGCTCCCCAAGGGGATGGGTTAAATGCAAAGAGTTAATTCCACTGCTCTGTACTTTGCGACAGTGTAATGACAATAAAAGCTAAAAAAAAAGAGGATATTTAATCATCAGCTGTTGCAAAAGAAGTTGTGTGGTTGGAAATGTAACAACGGATGAATAAATATTTTATTCCTACAGGCTGCAGTCTGCTGTTTTATGCCACGTTTGGGCGGAGCAGCAGCGGCACAGAGCAGGAGCTGTCCCCCCGGTATGCCCTGCTGGCGGATGACAGCATGGTCCAGGCCGTCCCCGAGCATCCTCGCAGGGAGCACGTCTTCTGTCTGAGCAACTCCCACGGAGACGTCTACATGTTCCAGGTGAGAGGACCTCTGAAACATCCCACACTCTGGTGGTGTCATTAAACCTCCCGCAGGGTACCAACAGCAATAGAATAAATGGCAGGAAAGCCGTTCAGCAGATGCAGCAGCTTTCCTGTGACCTCTCCTGGAGAGCCGCTGTTGACCTCAAACATCACATGTCTCTGACTGTCCCCCGTTAGCTTTACGAGCTCTGGGAGCACTTCTTTATTCCCAGAGTAACTCAGCAGCAGAGAGTGTTTAGAGACACAAATCACTGTGAGGAGCTTCTCTAGGACCGAGGAGGAGTGAGGATGAAGGGCAGTGAAACCTTTTAATGGGGGTCAGAAAGGCTGCTAATCTGCAGCAGATTGGCTTTTTACGAGCTCAGAGAGGAGAGAGAAAAACCTGCAACCCTTCAGAGGAACCGGCTTCATTCTGCTCTGCATCTGAGGAGAAACTTTTCATTTCCCATTAGAATAAAACATCATCTTTACACCTTAAATCAGTTCTCGTTTACGTTATACTTTGGAATAATGTAGATTGTTGTTTTTTTTTAGAAAAAACACATTTTGAAGGGATCGAGTAGATCATTTACTCATTTGTACATGAATCTTATTTTTCATCTAATGATTGGCAACTTTTGCCATCTTACCTTCCTCCATCCTATCCGATTTTCTGTCTTTTTGCTTCATGTTGGAGATTGGCCTGTTTTTCAGTGTAGTCCTGTTTCTCTGACTGTGACTATCTTCATCCTTGAACATGGGCATTGGCTCGGAGCTCGTCTGCCTGGCTGTGTGTTTCCTAAACCGCCTTTTACTCTTGCTGATGTATCTCTGTCTCTTTCTGTATGTCTGTTTCTGTCTCCTTGAACCCCAGTCTGCCTCGGCGATCACTCGTCTGTCGCTGGTCTGTCCTGGAAATTAGATCTTATTCTACTTCCGGCAGCTGATTTTTTGGTCTTTGGATTTGTAGCTATATGTAGTAATTTGGAGTTTTATGTTTGCCTTTTCCTGAACTTTCAAGGTTTATTGTGCATAATCTGAAAAAAGATGCACTAAAATAAGGATAAATACTCTGCAATCATGTCTTTTATAGTTGCCCTTTTTTTATCTCTGCTTCTTTCTGTATCCCTGCTTCTTGTTCTATCTCTGCTTCTGTCTCCTTAAACCCCAGTTAGTCTTGGGAGATGGGCGCTCACCCTGAGCCTGGTTCTGATGGAGGTTTATCCTGTTAAAAATTAGTTTTTCCTCTCCACTGTCGCTACAAGCATGCTTAGTGTGAGGGATTGCATCCGAGTCGATGAGTCGATGCAATCAGCTGGTTTTCCTTAGATAGAAAACTTGGAATCAGCTGGATGATCTGGTGAACTGTAAAGTGGCTTGAGATGACGTGTTTTGATTTGCAATATAGAAATAAACTGAATTGAAATAATCTGGTTTTCTTCACTAGCTTCTGATCTTCCATCTTGTAATCTCTCATATTACCATGTTTTTCGTTTCGCCATCTTTAAATGTTTCATCCCGTTTTTCTTCAAGTCTTCCTGCTCATCTTGTCTCGTCATCATTTAATGTTCGCTCCTCACATCTTTTATCTTCATATCTTTCATGGCTTCATATTGTCTGATCTTTTAAAGTCTCATCTTGTCTCATTCTATGACCTCCTCTTTAGATTAATCATCTCTTCTCCTCCAGTCTTATGTGGGTCTCTCTCTGTCTCACCTTGTTTCCTCAAATCTCTCTTTTGTCTCACCCTTTTTCTACTTAATGACTTAATGAAATACAAATACTTTCTTCTCCCACCAAGTATAGATTTTCCTCATGTATTCTGTTGCTGTCCCTCCTCATCACATCCCTCATTTTATAGCATCTTGTTTTTTAGTTTTAAAGTCTGTTAATGTTCGTTGACCTCAGTGACCCGGTTTATCGTATGACCTGCTGAGGTCTGACTGGATCCATCTTTCCTCTTATTAAAGTCTGTCAGTCCTGTTAGCTTCATGCTAACCTATAGCGTATCTCTCCATCCCCTCAGGCCACCAACCAGACGGACCTGGAGAACTGGGTCACTGCCATCCACTCGGCCAGCGCCGCCCTGCTGGCCAGACGTCAGGGGAGGGAGGACACCCTGTGGCTGCTGCGCTGCCAGAGCCGCTCGCTGCTCCACAAGATCGACATGGACGGGAAGATGAAGAAGATGGCCGAGCTGCAGCTGTCCATCATCAAGGACCAGAAGAACCGGAGGGCCGTGGAGAGCCAGGTCAGCAGTAGGTGTGGGGGTGGGGTTCCCTGTGCAGTTAGAACCATGCAGGGTTTTCCTTTCTTAAGCTGTAGAAGGCATCCTGCGTTAGAAGAGCCAACTCAGGATGTTCTGCCAGATGTGCAGCAGAAAAAAATCTCATCTCTGAGTCATGTGGTGTTAACTTGGACATCCAGATGTTTTTGAACAGCAGCTATTATTTGGAGTAATCTTAGTTTTATTTTGAAAGTCCAAGGTAAAATATCTCATCTGGTTGCTATGGTGATCCCCCTTCTGCTCCACATTCAGTCACATTTCTGTTAGAAGGTCCTGTGGTTCAGAACCAGGAGTTCGAGCCTCAGCATGAAGGGATGTTAGTAACTGGACCTGTGGATGTTCCCTCAGATCCAGCAGTGGGAGCAGAACCTGGAGAAGCTGAACCTGGATCTGTTCCGGCTCAGGTGTTACCTCTCCAGCCTGCAGGGCTCCGAGCTCCCCAACCCAAAGAGCCTTCTGGCCGTGGCCGGCCGTCCCACCAAGACCACGCTGGCTCGGCTGGGAATCTTCTCCGTGTCGTCCTTCCACGCTCTGGTGGGAATCGGATCTGTCTCCCATGGTTCTCTCTGTCTCCTTCCTTCCTTCCTTCCTTCCTTCCTTCCTTCCTTCCTTCCTTCCTTCCTTCCTTCCTTCCTTCCTTCCTTCCTTCCTTCCTTCCTTCCTTCCTTCCTTCCTTCCTTCCTTCTTTCCTTTCTCTGTCTCCTTCCTTCCTTCCTTCTATTTCTTCCTTCCTTTGTTCCTTCTTTCCTTCTTTCCTTTGTACATTCCTTCCTTCCTTCCTTCCTTCCTTTGTTCCTTCTTTCCTTCGTTCTTACCTTTGTTCCTTCTATCCTTCGTTCTTTCCTTTGTTCCTTCTTTCCTTCGTTCTTTCCTTTGTTCCTTCTTTACTTCGTTCTTACCTTTGTTCCTTCTTTCCTTCGTTCTTACCTTTGTTCCTTCTATCCTTCGTTCTTTCCTTTATTCCTTCTTTCCTTCGTTCTTTCCTTTGTTCCTTCTATCCTTCGTTCTTTCCTTTGTTCCTTCTTTCCTTCGTTCTTTCCTTTGTTCCTTCTTTCCTTCGTTCTTACCTTTGTTCCTTCTATCCTTCGTTCTTTCCTTTGTTCCTTCTTTCCTTCGTTCTTACCTTTGTTCCTTCTTTCCTTCGTTCTTACCTTTGTTCCTTCTTTCCTTCGTTCTTTCCTTTGTTCCTTCTTTCCTTCGTTCTTTCCTTTATTCCTTCTATCCCTCGTTCTTTCCTTTGTTCCTTCTTTCCTTCGTTCTTTCCTTTGTTCCTTCTATCCTTCGTTCTTTCCTTTATTCCTTCTTTCCTTCGTTCTTTCGTTTGTTCCTTCTATCCTTCGTTCTTTCTTTTGTTCCTTCTTTCCTTCGTTCTTTCCTTTGTTCCTTCTATCCTTCGTTCTTTCCTTTGTTCCTTCTTTCCTTCGTTCTTTCCTTTGTTCCTTCTTTCCTTCGTTCTTACCTTTGTTCCTTCTATCCTTCGTTCTTTCCTTTGTTCCTTCTTTCCTTCGTTCTTACCTTTGTTCCTTCTATACTTCGTTCTTTCCTTTGTTCCTTCTTTCCTTCGTTCTTACCTTTGTTCCTTCTTTCCTTCGTTCTTACCTTTGTTCCTTCTTTCCTTCGTTCTTACCTTTGTTCCTTCTATCCTTCGTTCTTTCCTTTGTTCCTTCTATCCTTCGTTCTTTCCTTTGTTCCTTCTTTCCTTCGTTCTTACCTTTGTTCCTTCTATCCTTCGTTCTCTCCTTTGTTCCTTCTTTCCTTCGTTCTTAACTTTGTTCCTTCTATCCTTCGTTCTTTCCTTTGTTCCTTCTTTCCTTCGTTCTTACCTTTGTTCCTTCTTTCCTTCGTTCTTACCTTTGTTCCTTCTTTCCTTCGTTCTTTCCTTTATTCCTTCTATCCCTCGTTCTTTCCTTTATTCCTTCTTTCCTTCGTTCTTTCCTTTGTTCCTTCTATCCTTCGTTCTTTCCTTTATTCCTTCTTTCCTTCGTTCTTTCCTTTGTTCCTTCTATCCTTCGTTCTTTCCTTTGTTCCTTCTTTCCTTCGTTCTTTCCTTTGTTCCTTCTTTCCTTCGTTCTTACCTTTGTTCCTTCTATCCTTCGTTCTTTCCTTTGTTCCTTCTTTCCTTCGTTCTTACCTTTGTTCCTTCTTTCCTTCGTTCTTACCTTTGTTCCTTCTTTCCTTCGTTCTTTCCTTTATTCCTTCTATCCCTCGTTCTTTCCTTTATTCCTTCTTTCCTTTGTTCTTTCCTTTGTTCCTTCCATCCTTCGTTCTTTCCTTTATTCCTTCTTTCCTTCGTTCTTTCCTTTGTTCCTTCTATCCTTCGTTCTTTTGTTCCTTCTTTCCTTCGTTCTTTCCTTTGTTCCTTCTATCCTTCGTTCTTTTGTTCCTTCTATCCTTCGTTCTTTCCTTTGTTCCTTCTATCCTTCGTTCTTTCCTTTGTTCCTTCTTTCCTTCGTTCTTTCCTTTGTTCCTTCTATCCTTCGTTCTTTCCTTTGTTCCTTCTTTCCTTCGTTCTTTCCTTTGTTCCTTCTTTCCTTCGTTCTTACCTTTGTTCCTTCTATCCTTCGTTCTTTCCTTTGTTCCTTCTTTCCTTCGTTCTTACCTTTGTTCCTCTATACTTCGTTCTTTCCTTTGTTCCTTCTTTCCTTCGTTCTTACCTTTGTTCCTTCTTTCCTTCGTTCTTACCTTTGTTCCTTCTATCCTTCGTTCTTTCTTTTGTTCCTTCTTTCCTTCGTTCTTTCCTTTGTTCCTTCTATCCTTCGTTCTTTCCTTTGTTCCTTCTTTCCTTCGTTCTTTCCTTTGTTCCTTCTTTCCTTCGTTCTTACCTTTGTTCCTTCTATCCTTCGTTCTTTCCTTTGTTCCTTCTTTCCTTCGTTCTTACCTTTGTTCCTTCTATACTTCGTTCTTTCCTTTGTTCCTTCTTTCCTTCGTTCTTACCTTTGTTCCTTCTTTCCTTCGTTCTTACCTTTGTTCCTTCTTTCCTTCGTTCTTACCTTTGTTCCTTCTATCCTTCGTTCTTTCCTTTGTTCCTTCTATCCTTCGTTCTTTCCTTTGTTCCTTCTTTCCTTCGTTCTTACCTTTGTTCCTTCTATCCTTCGTTCTCTCCTTTGTTCCTTCTTTCCTTCGTTCTTAACTTTGTTCCTTCTATCCTTCGTTCTTTCCTTTGTTCCTTCTTTCCTTCGTTCTTACCTTTGTTCCTTCTTTCCTTCGTTCTTACCTTTGTTCCTTCTTTCCTTCGTTCTTTCCTTTATTCCTTCTATCCCTCGTTCTTTCCTTTATTCCTTCTTTCCTTCGTTCTTTCCTTTGTTCCTTCTATCCTTCGTTCTTTCCTTTATTCCTTCTTTCCTTCGTTCTTTCCTTTGTTCCTTCTATCCTTCGTTCTTTCCTTTGTTCCTTCTTTCCTTCGTTCTTTCCTTTGTTCCTTCTTTCCTTCGTTCTTACCTTTGTTCCTTCTATCCTTCGTTCTTTCCTTTGTTCCTTCTTTCCTTCGTTCTTACCTTTGTTCCTTCTTTCCTTCGTTCTTACCTTTGTTCCTTCTTTCCTTCGTTCTTTCCTTTATTCCTTCTATCCCTCGTTCTTTCCTTTATTCCTTCTTTCCTTTGTTCTTTCCTTTGTTCCTTCCATCCTTCGTTCTTTCCTTTATTCCTTCTTTCCTTCGTTCTTTCCTTTGTTCCTTCTATCCTTCGTTCTTTTGTTCCTTCTTTCCTTCGTTCTTTCCTTTGTTCCTTCTATCCTTCGTTCTTTTGTTCCTTCTATCCTTCGTTCTTTTGTTCCTTCTATCCTTCGTTCTTTCCTTTGTTCCTTCTATCCTTCGTTCTTTCCTTTGTTCCTTCTTTCCTTCGTTCTTTCCTTTGTTCCTTCTATCCTTCGTTCTTTCCTTTGTTCCTTCTTTCCTTCGTTCTTTCCTTTGTTCCTTCTTTCCTTCGTTCTTACCTTTGTTCCTTCTATCCTTCGTTCTTTCCTTTGTTCCTTCTTTCCTTCGTTCTTACCTTTGTTCCTCTATACTTCGTTCTTTCCTTTGTTCCTTCTTTCCTTCGTTCTTACCTTTGTTCCTTCTTTCCTTCGTTCTTACCTTTGTTCCTTCTATCCTTCGTTCTTTCCTTTGTTCCTTCTATCCTTCGTTCTTTCCTTTGTTCCTTCTTTCCTTCGTTCTTACCTTTGTTCCTTCTATCCTTCGTTCTCTCCTTTGTTCCTTCTTTCCTTCGTTCTTAACTTTGTTCCTTCTATCCTTCGTTCTTTCCTTTGTTCCTTCTTTCCTTCGTTCTTACCTTTGTTCCTTCTTTCCTTCGTTCTTACCTTTGTTCCTTCTTTCCTTCGTTCTTTCCTTTATTCCTTCTATCCCTCGTTCTTTCCTTTATTCCTTCTTTCCTTCGTTCTTTCCTTTGTTCCTTCTATCCTTCGTTCTTTCCTTTATTCCTTCTTTCCTTCGTTCTTTCCTTTGTTCCTTCTATCCTTCGTTCTTTCATTTGTTCCTTCTTTCCTTCGTTCTTTCCTTTGTTCCTTCTTTCCTTCGTTCTTACCTTTGTTCCTTCTATCCTTCGTTCTTTCCTTTGTTCCTTCTTTCCTTCGTTCTTACCTTTGTTCCTTCTTTCCTTCGTTCTTACCTTTGTTCCTTCTTTCCTTCGTTCTTTCCTTTATTCCTTCTATCCCTCGTTCTTTCCTTTATTCCTTCTTTCCTTCGTTCTTTCCTTTGTTCCTTCGATCCTTCGTTCTTTCCTTTATTCCTTCTTTCCTTCGTTCTTTCCTTTGTTCCTTCTATCCTTCGTTCTTTTGTTCCTTCTTTCCTTCGTTCTTTCCTTTGTTCCTTCTATCCTTCGTTCTTTCCTTTGTTCCTTCTTTCCTTCGTTCTTTCCTTTGTTCCTTCTTTCCTTCGTTCTTACCTTTGTTCCTTCTATCCTTCGTTCTTTCCTTTGTTCCTTCTTTCCTTCGTTCTTACCTTTGTTCCTTCTATCCTTCGTTCTTTCCTTTGTTCCTTCTATCCTTCGTTCTTTCCTTTGTTCCTTCTTTCCTTCGTTCTTACCTTTGTTCCTTCTTTCCTTCGTTCTTACCTTTGTTCCTTCTATCCTTCGTTCTTTCCTTTGTTCCTTCTATCCTTCGTTCTATCCTTTGTTCCTTCTTTCCTTCGTTCTTACCTTTGTTCCTTCTTTCCTTCGTTCTTACCTTTGTTCCTTCTATCCTTCGTTCTTTCCTTTGTTCCTTCTTTCCTTCGTTCTTACCTTTGTTCCTTCTATCCATCGTTCTTTCCTTTGTTCCTTCTTTCCTTCGTTCTTACCTTTGTTCCTTCTTTCCTTCGTTCTTACCTTTGTTCCTTCTTTCCTTCGTTCTTAGCTTTGTTCCTTCTATCCTTCGTTCTTTCCTTTGTTCCTTCTTTCATTCGTTCTTACCTTTGTTCCTTCTTTCCTTCGTTCTTTCCTGTGTTCCTTCTTTCCTTCGTTCTTTCCTTTGTTCCTTCATTCCTTCGTTCTTACCTTTGTTCCTTCTATCCTTCGTTCTTTCCTTTGTTCCTTATTTCCTTCGTTCTTACCTTTGTTCCTTCTATCGTTCGTTCTTTCCTTTGTTCCTTCTATCCTTCGTTCTTTCCTTTGTTCCTTCTTTCCTCCCTTGGTTCCTTCCTTGGTTCCTTCGTTCGTTCCTGCGTTCCTTCTCTCCTTCCCTTCTTCCTTGGTTCCGCGGTTCGTTCGTTCGTTCCTTCCTTGCTTCCTTCCTTCCTTTGTTCCTTCCTTCCTTCCCTCCTTCCTTCCTTCCTAGGTTCCTTGGTTCCTTCCTTCCTTCCTTCCTTGTTTCCTCTCAGGAAAGCCAATACATTCATGTTTTTTAGCAAATCTTCTTCTTGCTTCCTGCAGGTGTGCAGTCGTGAAGAAGGGACGCTGCTAAGGCGCTGCAGGTCGGTTTCAGGTGAATCAGGGTGGAGGAGAGGCTTACCGTCGTCCCTGAGGGCTCTATCCAGACCCAGCCATGATGGGAAACACTCAGACCACCAGGTAATAAACGGATCCACGAACCGCTGCAGCTAAACTGCTGCAGAATGTTGCTCCGTTTTCCTAAAAAGGTCAAAACATCTCTGAAGGACATCTCTCATCTGGAGATCCATGTCTCTGAGTCCCCCCCCCATCGTCGGCTGAAGCTCCCATCATCCCGGCTCGTCTTGGCCCCCTCCTCATAAACACTTGGTTATTTTTAGGACGGGGAGTCTGGGATTCAGATTCCAGAGAATAAATCTTCTTGCGTTTTTCAGCTCAGGGTTTATTTTGGCTGAGTTTCCAGCTCTGCAGCACGTGCTCCATGTTTACTCACTTCATGCTGACGTGTTTGAAGAGCAGCTGCTTCAGCAGTGTTCACAGAGCTTCTACTAACAGGTTCTGGTTTGGTTTGTTCGCTTGTTGGGAAAACTTTTCTCAGAGCCTGGCAGGGATCCGGCATTCCTGATGGGAATTAAGGCTCCATGTTTAGATCGTCTGACAGGAAATGGACCAATCAGAGCTGAAAGTGAGGAAACTGGAAAATCCTTCTTTTTCCATAGTTCTTTTTCCTGCCCATCTGTTCATCAGTTTGTCTGTTTTTGAGAAAAATATGAGTTTGGAACAGAAACAGTTATGATATCCTGATCAATTTAAAAAGCTAAAGAAGGTGTAGGAACCCTGTTTGCTGTTTGCTACGTTCTACAGTCAGTTCTGCAGCAACAGATGGAACCTGCAGCCGGGCTTCTGGGTTCCTTTGGTCTGTTCTCAGATCAGGCTAAGTTGCTGATGCTTCCTGATCTCTGCCGACTCTACAGCTGCTCTCATCATCCTGGGTCCTTGTTCACAGCGCCCCCATCAGGCAGCAGCACGGCAGGAGGTTTTCAACTCCAATGAATTCAATTATCAATTCAATTAAGTTTATTTATATAGCCCTAATTCACATACAGACACAATACAGACAGACTGGTTAGGAAAACCAGTCATTGACATTCTTCTCCTTTGCTTGTATTTTGTTGTTCTTCAGCAATCCCTCACACTAAGCATGCTTGTAGTGACAGTGGAGAGGAAAAACTCCCTTTTAACAGGAAGAAACCGCCAGTAGAACCAGGCTCAGTGTGAGCGGCCATCTGCTGAGGCCGACTGGGGTTCAAGGACACAGAAACAGACATAGAAAAAGAAGCATAGATACAAAAGGCAACTGTCAACCAGCTCCACAGGCGGCTGCGTCCAGGAAACACACAGCCAGGCAGACGAGCTCCGAGCCAGCTCCCATGTCAGAGGATGAAGAGAGCACATCCAGTTAGTCACAGTCAGAGAAACAGGACTACACTGGAAAAACAGGCCGATCTCCAACATCTATAAACAAAGGTGTCGATGGCAGCAGCACAGCTGATATTTCTCTCCAGGACCAGATGAAGCTACTATGATGAGAAAAAGCAGAGAGAGCATTAGATTAGAGATTGGACTAACGTATACTGCAGAATGGGAGAATAGAGATAGAATGGAGCAGAATGAGGAAAAGTTGTCCCTATGTCCTCCAGCATTCTAAACCTATAGCAGCATAACTATAGAGATAGCTCAGGATAACCTGACTATTTTGAATGAGGTATAAGAAAGGTAGAGCCACAATAGGGCGAAGGAGAAACGTCTGTCTGGACTAAAATTCTCCCCCACCACCTTTTACTCACCCAGCGGCTAACCAAACATCACTCTGCTTTTAACTATAAGCTTCATCCAAAAGTTTTAAGCCTTGCCTTAAAAGTAGACATGGTTAAAGAGTCGTTTTGGTTTCCCTTCTTAACGAATGTTAAATGGATGATTGTGTAACTCAGGTTTAGTTTATGTCCAGTTTTAATGCCATCCTCACACATAAACTGGAAACCAGTCAGAGTCCTGGAATCTAAACACAATCTGGTGATAATGATGGTAATGATGATGATGGTGTTTTTTAATTCTCAGCCTGATTACAGCTCTCGCTCTTTAAACCTGTAATTTCTCCGTCCTGTTCTTCTCCGTTTCCTCTCGTCTCATTCATCATTCTGCCTTTAATCACTTTAAATCCAGATGAATTAAAGACTAAAGTTTTGCGTTGAGTTTGTGATGAGTTAGTTTTTTTCTCTGTGTGTTTGTGTTCTAGATTCTCCATCATCAAGTCTCTGCTCCGTCCGTTCAGATGCTTCCTGCTGTCTGCTGGTCAGAGGTAAACTTCCTACTGAACCATGAAACCAAAGATCACTTCCTGAAAATGATGAGCTGGAACTAAACCATTACAGCTTGTTTTCTTTTTGTTTTGTTTTTGAAAACCTTGATTGTGTCAAAGCTTTTAGCCATTTAGTAGGAATCAAAATAGTCTTTGATATGATGCTGCCACCACCGTGCTTGATAAAGGGATGTTAGTGCTAGAAGCCAGACTTGCCTCTTGTCTTTGTGTCCATATAGCTTCATGTTGTCTTAAAATCCAGGTGTTTTCCGGAAGACATTGGGCTTTTCTGTTTGGACAGCTCCTTGTTTGAGTCCAGTTGGAAGGTACTGATCCTGGTTCTGGTTTCTTGGTTGGTACCGGCTCAGTTAGAGGTGATGTAATGTGCTCAATCTGCCAGTGTCACGGGTGTTTATAGAGTTTCTGGCATGTTTAAGCCATCGGTTGTTACTCGGGTAACAGTCTGACCAACTTCTTTGTACCTTAGAGAGTTTCAGTCAGATTGACTGATCTTTGACATTATTGGGTGTTACAAGATCATAATCTTAATCTGGAATAGACAAACCAGCCTGACATTAGCATTACGAAGAAGAAAAATGTTTGAATTCTTTGAAAAGATATAGTGGTAAAAATTCTCAGTCATCAAGGTCATAGTCATTCCAAAAAAAGTAAAAAAAAAAACAATCCACTGGACTTTGTTTCCGAGTTTGAAGACGTTTCTCTTCCCATCTAGGAAGCTTTTTCAATTCAAAATGTCAGAAATAGCGTTGAGTTCCAGGTTTTATCCAGCAGCCCAACAAAGCCTTGTTTTTATTTTGAAAAGATGCAAATTGAAACGGATGAACGGGTCCCCCCCTTTGGAATGGGGGTCGTTTGGTTGCTTTTGTTAGCCTGCAATGCCCCATACCTGTCTATGTCTCTGAAAGGGGGGTCATTAGAGGGAATAGTTAGCCTGGCTGAATAGGCGAGGTCATCAATTGCTGCATTGTAGGTTTTTAAAAGCTGAAATCTGAGTCCACCTCCTCTGTTTAAGGTTGTTTTTTTTTTCCGTTTTTTTTTTACAGTGTCCTGTCTGGCAATAAGAATAATTGTCTTGATGCCAAAAACAGACCAACAGATTTTACTTTCACAAGTGGAGCAGTACGGCTATTGCCATAGTGTTCCACTTGTTTCATGCAAATAAATTGCTTTATTATAATTATGCAGGGAGTTTTACAGATATATGGACACTGCAATGTAGGTGAAAAGATGAAAGAAAGAGGAGATAAAAGAGAGTTCATGATAAAACTTTTTCAGTCAAAGAGATGTAAAAAGAACAGCACAACCAACGGACATGGTGCAAGTTCCTATACACTACTGTTTATGCTCTAAAAACATTCTAAATGACTTCGTTTCGAGTAAATTCTGGACGCTACCCACTCAGGACACTTGGAATACATTGGACGAGCAGTATGGAGGAATATTGACACGTTTTTTGTGGACTTTTATGGACCTTTCTGCCTCGGGCGCCATAGACCTCCATTATTTGAATGTCAGCAGACAGCAAGAAGCCTCCCAGATCTCCAGATGCATTTGAGATATCAAAAAATTACTCCAGAGTGTTGTTTAGCATGGGGGTGAGTAGAAAATGAAGGCTAATCATGTTTTGGGTGTACTATTCCTTTAAGGGTGGAATTAATATGTCACCACTAAAATGACATGAAGTTATGCTGGCCTGCAGGTTTTCAGAAACATATCACTGACTGTAGCATTTGGGAAATCTCTTCCTTCTGCTTCTGCTGAAGGTTTCTGAGGAAAACCAGTCCGGCCGTGTAGAATTTCTTCGTGGTTGATGCGGGTTTGGTAAATAAAGATGAACAAAGGGAGGATGGAGATGAGGGTTCGCGTGGAGAGCTGATGTTTGCGAAGCTGGGCAGCTGTTTGAGAGCAGCATGCTGGTCTGTGGACACAGAGGAGATGTTTGAGGATTAAAAGCTTGCCTGGCCTTTTATTTTCCCAGAATTCCTTTGTCTCTTAGTGTTTGTTGCTCCTCAAAGGCAGGATGACTCCACCGCCTCCTCCTGTCACTCCACATGACCTCCACCTTTCTCTCTGTACCCCCCCCCATAGAGTCTCCTCCACATCCTGCTGCTGCTTTGTTTCCTTCCTTCCTCATTTCTTTCACTCATTTTATCGCTTTAACCGTCTCTTCCTTGTCATTTATTAATATTATCTGCCAAATTATTTTCTTTTAATTTCAGCAAGCAGATAACAAACAGGCTGGTTTAGCAGTGATGTCACATTTTAGCTGCTTTCCTCTTGCAGACTGTGACTTGTGTGTCCAAACAAAGAGGTGTGATGCCCCCTGCAGGACATGTGGCAGAACCGCAGGTGAGTCTCTAGTCTGGTTTTAAAAATGGACATTTTTGCTTATTTACTTTAAATACTTTTGAAGAATTTAAAATAAAGAAATAAATCAGTTTGAATACGAATTCAAATTAATACATATTTTATTTAAAAATAAACTACAGTTTGAGTTGAAATAATAATTTTTATAATACAGTTAGAAATTATGGGGGTGTGGCGGCCTAGCAGTTAGGGCATAAAGCTTTGAATCCTGAGGTTGTGAGTTCAAAACCCACTCCCACAGGCTGCCACTCTGGGTCCCTGAGCAAGACCCTTAACCCCATACTTCTCCCAGGATGCCGCACAATGGCAGCCCACTGCTCCCCAAGGGATTTGTTATATGCAGAGGTAAATTTCTCCAATATGAGATCATTAAAGTCCAATTATTATAAATCATTATTAAGATTATTTTCAAAAAATCAAACATTTTTCTGTGTGGAATAACTTTTTTTTTTTTAGGAATTTATCCTCCAGGGATTCATGACAGGAAACTACACAACTTTTACATAGTTTACACTCTAATGCACAAACAAAGACTATTTTAACCATAAAGGAATCTTTATTTACCATAATATAAAGCATTATTATTAATAATGGATGGCATACGCCTTTAAAGAATTTGTTTGACTCTGATCTGAAATCTGCTGACATCATTAACTGTCGACTGATCTGAACTTCAGCTGAGTGAGGAGACACATCCTTCAACCGTTGGGATCTTCACCCTGAACATCTGCCGGTCCAACACAGACCAGGACTTTGGTGAGAAAACACTGCCTAACCCTAACGCCTAACACTGAAAACATTGTTCCCTGTTTGTTTTGACTCTTTGAAAGTTTCTGAACCCTCCCCACCACAGCTGGAGAGGCTTCAGTTGTAGGCTGAAAGCTTTTAATCCAGATGGTCTAATTAACACATTGAAATAAATCATTTGTTTCTCCTCCTGCAGGTTTTGCAGTGACGGGGCACGTAGACGGAGCGGGAAAAAGCCACGTGTTCGTCAGTGAAGTCGACCCGCTGGGATTATCAGCCAGAGAAGGTAGAACATCTGCGACAACATTACAGCAGTCTCAGCTTCACAGGAAAAAAAAGTTTTATGGTGTGGAGTTTGTCCAGCAGAGGGCGCCCGTTGCTCGGATTTTCGAAGTTAGAAGTGAAAAAAATGAAGGTTACTGTTCTGTTTGGAAATGTTTGGAGTTTGAATTAAAGTATTTTTGGGGGGTCATAGCTTAAAATGGAGAAAATAGAAAAATAAATGATTATTTTCAGAATTTATTAGTTTAAACATTCCATCAGTTTAGGTTTTGTGGTGGTTAGTGGTGCAGGGTTTCTCCAGCAGAGGGCGCCCTTTGCTCGGGTTTTCAGTGTTTAACCTGCACGACTTTGTTTTATTTCAGCTTTGTTATTCATCTTAAAAGTGAAAAACTGAAGCTTTTACTAATTAAAAACACTAAAAAACAAAAACAGAGCCAATTTTAAAGTTTTTATACAGTTTTGGAAATGTTTGGAATTTGAATTCAAGTGTTTTTTTTTTTAGGTCATAGCTTAAAAGGGAGAAAATAGAAAAAGAAATGATTTTGTTCAGACTGTATTTGTTTAAACATTCCATCAGTTTAGGTTTTCTGGTTGTTTGTGGTTTGGAGTGTCTCCAGCAGAGGGCGCCATTTATCGTGTTTTCAGCGTTTAACTTGCACGACTTTATTTTTTTAAGCTTCTTATTAATGTTAAAAGTGAAAAACTGAAGCTTATACTGTTAAAAAAAAAAGAAAAGAAAGAAAAACAGCCAATTATTACTGGAATATTGGATTTTAAATTCAAGTATTTTTCTAATCATAGCTTAAAAAGGATACAATAGAAAAATAAGTGATTTTTTCAGACTTTATTTGTTTAAACATTCCATCAGTTTATCATTTATTTAACCATCCATTCCAGCATCCATCCATTCATCTACTTTTTAGGAGCTCCTTTATTCAAAGCCAAACTACAATTAATTGTTTTCAACTGATTTCTTTTGTTGTTCTTTATTTATGATATAAAATTAGCTTAAACCAACAAAAAGCTCTTAATTCTGAACCCTGTAAGTCATTGAAATATTCCAAAAAAGAGCTGCATCCAATAATATGAAGAAAATCATAAAATTGTTTAGTAAAAAAAAGTTTTACCAGGTCATTTTTATATTTTTTTCTTTATTTGAAAATGAGAAAAGTCTGTTCCTACGTCCCATTAGGCCTCCAGGCCGGAGACGAGGTCCTGGCAGTGAACGGGTCGGTGGTCTCTGGACTGGACCTGGACCTCCTCCAAACCCTCTTCAAACACCAGAACCTCCAGCTGGTGCTGAGCAGAGACGAGCCACCAGACCTCGAGGAGCCCACCGTCGTTTGGCCTGACCCCAATGACCCCACAGACCTCTGGGTCAAACAGTCGGTTCCCACCGAACCGCACAACTGGACCGCAGGTACCACAGTAGCTGGATCAGAACCTTAAATTCAAGGCAGAGTCTCATACTGGCACCTACAGGGCGCAGAGAGAATACGCTTAAACAGAACAGAATCCAGTCAATCCAAGAGCTACTAATAAGATTATTATTACAGTGAGGTCAAACTCTGTTGGATGAGCCACAATAGTCCATATTAGAGATTAAAACTTCAAAATAAACTTTTATTTAGATAACTGGACCTCAGAACCACACTGCAAAAATGGAAATCTAAATAAAGATATTTTTTTTTCTTAAAATAAGTGAATTTTTTTCTTGAAATGAGGTTAGTGAGACACTTTGCCAATGGAACAGGACAATTTACATTTAAAATAAGAAAGAAAAAATTGCTTTGTCTTATTTCATGTTCATATTATGTAATTATTTTATTTTAGTGGTAGAAATACTCCATCCATTGGCAAATCCTCTTATTTACCTGCTAAAATTAAGGCTAAATACAGTTAATTTAAGAAATGTTTTACCTATTTCTAGAGTTATGCAGTGCAAATGAAGATCCAGCAGTAAAGTCAAACAGGAGAAATCAAAAATAAATCAAATAACCTAAATGCTGATGATGTTTAATCTTTCTTAGCTTCTCATATTTGCGAGAAAGTGTCATTTCAATCATGAAGGCTCATTTTATTTGAATGAATTTATGGATAAAATGTAATCGTTTTTGTTACCTGTGTGATGTCATCATTTAGAGCTCTTTTTATTTTTCTTTATTTGTTTTTTAGAATAACAAAATGCAGAACCTTTTTATTTTTCTTTCACAATCATTGAGATTTAATTTTAAAAAATTTGGATCCTTAATCCTCCTAATTGTGTCACAGATGCCCCGCCCCCTGCTGGTGCTGAAACGTCGCAGACACAGGAATCACCTGAGCAGGTGAGCTTCAGTTTGACTCTGAGACATGAACAGTTTGGCTCCTAGGCTGCAGACGACTCTAACAGGACAGTTGGATGTGGTTTTAATGTTTTAACCTTTTAAAGCCAAGCGTATTGTATTTGATACATGAGTTTTATTAGACCTCTGCATTGCAAAGAATTAAAATCTAGATAAATCATATTTTCTTAAAATAATGAACAAAACAATTTACATTTAAAATAAGAAAAAGGATAGCATTGTCTTATTGCAAACGCATCTAAGTATCTTATTTTAAGAGTAAAAATACTAATTCAGTTGGTAAATCAACTTATTTAACTACTCAAATTAAAGGAATAGTACACCCAAAACATGATTAGCCTTCATTTTCTACTCACCCCCATGCTGAACAACACTCTGGAGTACTTTTTTGATATCTCAAATGCATCTGGAGATCTGGGAGGCTTCTTGCTGTCTGCTGACATTCAAATAATGGAGGTCTATGGCGCCCGAGACAGAAAGGTCCATAAAAGTCCACAAAAAACGTGTCAATATTCCTCCATACTGCTCGTCCAATGTATTCCAAGTGTCCTGAGTGGGTAGCATCCAGAATTTACTCGAATCGAAGTCATTTAGAATGTTTTTAGAGCATAAACAGTAGTGTATAGGATTTCCTAAAAGCGCGTGCCTGCGAGTTCACGAGTCTACGGAAACCGCAACAGACCAAACCAGATGAAAGTGCGCATTCAGCGTCTGCTCTGCCGATAATGCAAGCGTAGAAGAAGAAATGTGCTGTTTACCTGTGCAAAGAAAGAAACAACGAAAGAAAAATGTCTGAGGACTTCAGTGTTGAGGTTTTGCCAAGCGTATTGTATTTGATACATGAGTTTTATTAGACCTCTGCACTGTAAAAAATTAAAATCTAGATAAATCATCTTTTCTTAAAATAAGGAACAAGACAATTTACATTTAAAATAAGAAAAAAGGATTGCATTCTTATTTCAATATTATCTAAATATCTTATTTTAAGAGTAAAATACTCAAAGAAAGAGAAAACACAGGTTTGCCTCCATCAGAATCAGAAGGAAAACTCTCCTGTGTTTCATTAGCAGAACTAGAATGTGACTGCGTTCATTTTTCAGTACTTTGTTTCTTCAAAAAAGTTTCCAAAAAAAAACTTTTTTTGATTCATCCGTCAGTCTCCCGCTCCATTCTGGATACTTGAACTCCTGCCCTTGAGGCTTAAGGGGTAAAAACACCCTTTTCCGGTCCAGAACCAGAACCATGTCCTCAGACCAGCAGAACCATCTCATCTGCAGAAAGCAGGGATGAAATCCTCTGGTCTCCAAACCAGAACCAGGAATCCTGAAAAGGACGGCTGATAGAAGGCAGCCTAAATAAATCTTATTAATTCCCATAGTTAAAATCAAGACGCTAATAGATTACAGGTAAAAATAACCGGTTGGTCATTTAGAGCGTTAACGTCTCACAGACATCAAAATATTCAAAGCCTCTTGTCTAAAATGAAGCATCTCTCTAAGAAAAAACCGCCTCCTTCCTCTCTTGCTCTTTAAACTTACCTGATTCACCCCCCCCCATCCTAACACACACCAGTATGTGTCACATGACCAGCGGCCAGCCTGGTAATCTGGGTTTACGCCATCAGGAGTGTTTGTGGAGTTGGAGCAGACTAATCCCCCTTTAGAAGGCGGTGGATGTATGGAGCAGCTCCTCCTCTTCCTCAGCTACCAGCAGCAGTAACAGACCCCGGAGGCGACCCCTGACCCTCACCATGGGCGCCCTGTGCTGGGTGCTGCCGCTGGAGGAGGACGCAGACATCCTGGAGGAGGGCGAAGGAAGCAGACTGGTGGAGCTGCTGGAAGAGGTAGCCTGCTGTCTGGGCTGCCAACGACCTCCAGACGGCTTCGCTCTGCTGGTAAAACATGATGGATCCTCTTTGATTGGTTGATCTCTTTAGATCGGACTGATTGCCCCCTTAAAGCGGGGAGAGACGCCGCCCCCCTTTGTGTCAAAGGGTTTCTGCTGTTGATCCTCTGGCAGATCTAACTGCTGACCTTCCATCAACATTAACTCCTAGTTAGGTGGAAAAATTAAACATTCTCTGGCAATTTTGTTAATATCTGATATCATTTGGTTCAGAACCTTTAAAATAGACAGGTACGAGGCATAGCAGGCTAACAAAAGAAGCTAAACCACCCCCATTCCAAAGGGGGTGGACCCGTTCTTCTGTTTCAATTTGCATGTTTTCTAAATAAAAACAAGGCTTTGTTTGGTTACTGTACAAAACCTCGAACTCGACGCTATTTGTGATATTTGAATTAAAAAAGCTTCCTGAATGGGAAACGTCTTCTAACTCAGAAACAAAGTCCAGTTTCCTCTTTAAAATATGCTCTTAAATGAAGTCCACTGACACAGTTTACCTTCAGTATACAACCTGCTGATAGTCCTACACTGGAAAAAAATCAAAATCTAGATAAGTCAGTTTTTCTTAAAATAAGTGCATTTGTTCTTAAATTGAGGAGATTAGAGAGACATTTTGCCAATGGAACAAGACAATTTAGATTTAAAAATAAGAAAACACACTTGCATTGTCTTATTTCAAATGCATATTATCTAATTATCTTATTTTAAGGGTAGAAATATTCATTCCATTGGCAAATTATCAAATTTACCTATTCAAATCAAGGGTAAATACACTTAATTTAAGACATTTTTACTTATTTTTAGATAATTTTTGCAGTGTAACTTCATGCATCTAGCCTTGATGAAAGAAAGGCGAGAAAAAAGATGCAGCAAAACTGTGGGAGAAAATTCTCTGCCCAGATGATACCAAAACAAGGCAATTAGGATCTGTTCAGCGCAGAAATGCAGTCATAAAGAACTTTATTATTTGATTTAATGTCTTTTCTTTACTTACTGTAAATCATCTGTGGGTAAAATCAAACTCTCTGAGCACATTTGGCTTCCCTGACAGCGTGAGATGAGCGACCTCCGGTTTTTGTTCCAGACAGATCTACATTGTTCTGAGCATCTGTGTTGTTTGTTCTGGAGATTTTCCTTCAGCCTTTAATGAGCGTTTATGTTTAAAGTTCAGTTTGATTTTTGTTTCTGTGTGACGGAGACCTTCCTCTGACTTTTCCTGTCTGAGCTGCGGGTCTTAGACACCAGATTAAGGAATATTTCTTAGTTAAGACCCAGAATCAGAATTTCTCAAAAAGTCACGGGTGATCTGAGGAAGGCTCCTTTCCTGGAAGTTAGTCTGTCCTTAGTTATTAAAATAAATCTCTGGCTGCAGGGTGACTGCACTAAAAAAAAAATGAAATAGATAAGTTATTTTTTCTCAAAATAATTGCATTTGCTCTTGGATTGAGGAAGTAAAACAGACATTTTGCCAAAGGAAAAAGACAATTTACATCTAAAATAAGAAAAACCAATTACCTTGTCTTATTTTAAGAGCATATTATCTAATTATCTCATGTTAAGAGTGAAAATAATCATTCCATTGGCAAACTATCTCATTTACCTACTCAAATTAAATACACTGAATTTAAGAAATTTTTACTTATTTCTAGATCATTTTTCCAGTGTGGGGGGTCGACTGACAGTCCGTTACATTGCAAAAACGATCTAGAAACGAGTAAAAATGTCTTAAAATTTGTGTATTTAGCATAATTCAAGCAAGTAAATAATAAGATTTGCCAATGGAATTAGTATTTTTACTCTTAAAATGAGATAATTAGATAATATCCACTTGGAATAAGACAATGCAATTGTTTTTCTTCTTTTAGATGTAAATTGCCTTATTCCATTGGCAAAGTGTATCACTTAACTGCTTAATTCAAGAAAGAAATGCTCTTATTTAAAGAAAAATAAACTTACTTAGATTTCATTTTTTTGCAGTGTATGCACTGTAAGTATTTTTTTTTTTAAATAGGTGCATTTTCTTTAATTGAGGAGGTAAGTGGAAACTCTGCCAATGGAACAAGACAATATATATTTAAAATAAGAAAAAATTGTTGCATTGTCTTATTTCAAGTGCATATTATCTAATTAACCTTTTTGAAGAATAGAAATATTCATTCCATTGGCAAACTATCTCAATTACCTACTCATATTAAAGGTTAATACACATAATTTAACTTAACCTATTTCTAGATTGTTTCTGCAGTTAGCACTGGAAAAAATCTAAATCTAGATTATTATTTCTTAAAATAAGTGCATTTTTTCTTGGATTGAGGAGGAAAAAGATCCACTTTGCCAATGGAACAAGACAAATTACATTTAAAATAAGAAAACACAATCGCATTGTCTTATTTCAAGTGCATTTTATCTAAAAATCTTATTTTAAGAGTAAAAGCATTCATTCCATTGGCAAACTACCTCTCTTACCTACTCAAATTAAGGGTGAATGCATGTAATTTCAAAAATTTTGACTTATTTCTAGATTGTTTTTCCAGTGTAATGGTTGGTTCAGTTTAAGAGGATTCTGCACCGCAAAAATGAAACAGAAATAAGTAAAAATTTCTAAATTTTAATCACCCTTAATTTTAGCAGATAAATAAAATCATTTGCCAATGAAATGAGCATTTTTACTCTTGAAATAACTCTACTCATCTCTACGGGCGAGACGACAACAGCAACAAAAGGACAAATAGGACATTCACTCACACACTCACTTCTAAGGAGAATTTAGAGAAGCCAAATAACCTAACATTCATGTTTTTTGGACTGTGGGAGGAAGCTGGAGGGAAGTTGCACATATAGAGGAAGAACATGCAGAAAGTCCCCTGGCTTGGAATCAAACCCAAAACCTTCTTTCTCCAGGGCAGCAGTGCTACCGACTGTCCAGCCCTAATTAGATCATATGCACTTGAAATAAGACAATGCAACAGTTTTTTCTTATTTTCCTATTCCTCACTTCAAGGATAAATGCACTTATTTTAAGAAAAAATGACTTATTTAGATTAAAATATGTTTGCAGTGTGATGTATGAATCAGCAGGTGGATTTAGATCCTAACTCAGCAGCCGGTTGGTTCTGGTTCAAACGTTTTTCTTCGCTCTTCTCTGCTCAGTGTCAGAACCATTGCGACCAGCAGCCATGCTGGTTTGAACAGAAGCAGAAGTAGAATGGGCAGGAAGAAGTGTTCTGGTTCCAGGTGGAGTTGGTAATATCCGTTCTGTTCTTTCAGAACACGGATCGGGTCTTCTCTCTGTACCAGACCTTCCCAGAGAGCAGAAGGTCAGACGTCGACGTCCCCAAAAACCCGTACAGCAGGGAGGGCAGTGTGCAGCCACCGAGCCCCGGCCACCTCAGCGTGTGTCAGCGCCTGCGGAAAGTCATCCAGGAACTGGTCGACACGGAGAAATCCTACGTCAAGGTGGGAATCCAACCTTTGATGGATTTTAGGTTAATTAGGTTTTAGTAATAAATTAAACTCAGTTTGACACATTTCTTTTCGTATTACAATTTTACTCATGTTACTCGTTTTTTTTATTTTTCTTATTAATTATGTATCTCTTTTACTTAAATTCATTTCTAACCTAATTTATAAGAAATTAAGAAATCTCTGCAAATTTAAAGACATTAACCTTTACTTCTGTCATCGTCATGGTTACTCATGTATTGTTCAACTTGAACATGACTCTTGTTTCCTTGTTGACTTTGTTTTGCTGTCAGGATCTGGTTTGCCTGTTCGACATCTACTTGACGCCGCTGCAGAGCGAGACTTTCCTCAGTAAAGACGAGGTGAGAACCGACCAATCAGAGCTTTTGTGAGGCGTCAGCTTGTGCTTCTGATTCTGAAAGTCTGGTTTCTCCCACAGATGGAGGCATTGTTTGGTAGCCTGCCAGAGATGTTGGACTTCCAGAGAGTTTTTCTCCAAACACTGGAGGAAAGAATCGCTGCCTGTCCGGACCTCAGCAGTTTGGAAACTCCAGAACAGTTCAAGGTTAGATAAAAAGTTTTTATTTCCTCCTTGATTTTTTTTATTTAAAACAAACTTTTTAGCTGATCAATATCATTTGATTTTAATTTACTGTCGTTTAGATGCTCCTCTTCTCATTGGGTGGATCTTTCCTCTATTACGCCGACCACTTTAAGCTGTACAGCGGCTTCTGTGCCAACCATATCAAAGTCCAGAAAGTTCTGGAAAGAGGTGACCTCCACTCATCTAGACATGCACTTTTTTTTATTTTATACAATTATAACAGTCAGAGGGGGGGTCAGAATGGTAGTTGATCTGTTTAAACATCAAAGATGCAGAAATCTAACAAATCCTTCTGGGATTCAGCCAAAACAGATGCAGCCTTCAAGCACTTCCTGGAAACAAGGAATCCCACCAATCAGCACTCGTCTTCCCTGGAGTCATACCTGATAAAACCGGTTCAGAGAGTCCTGAAGTACCCATTGCTGCTGAAAGAGCTGGTGTCCCTGACTGATACTGAGAGCCCTGAACACACACACCTAACAGGTAAAACACTCCCCTCCAAAGTAACATACTGACTTTACTGGTAACACACACGCCTCGCAGGAAACACACTCACCTAACAGGTAACACACTGACTTTACAGGTAACACACTCTCCTCGCATGAACACACTTGCCTCACAGGTAACACACTCACCTAACAGGTAACACACTTGCCTCACAGGTAACACACTGACTTTACAGGTAACACACTCTCCTCGCATGAACACACTTGGCTCACAGGTAACACACTCACAAGTAACACACTGACTTTACAGGTAACACACACGCCTTGCAGGAAACACACTCACCTAACAGGTAACACACTGACTTTACAGGTAACACACTCACCTCACATGAAACACACTCACCTAACAAGTAACACACTGACTTTACAGGTAACACACTCTCCTCGCATGAACACACTTGCCTCACAGGTAGCACACTCACTTAACAGGTAACACACTGACTTTACAGGTAACACACTCACCTCACATGAAACACACTCACCTAACAGGTAACACACTGACTTTACAGGTAACACACTCCCCTCACATGAAACACACTCACCTAACAAGTAACACACTGACTTTACAGGTAACACACTCTCCTCGCATGAACACACTCACCTCACATGAAACACACTCACCTAACAGGTAACACACTGACTTTACAGGTAACACACTCTCCTCGCATGAACACACTTGCCTCACAGGTAACACACTCACAAGTAACACACTGACTTTACAGGTAACAAACATGCCTTGCAGGAAACACACTCACCTCACAAGTAACACACTCACCTGACAAGAAACACACTGACTTTACAGGTAACACACTCTCCTCGCATGAACACAGTTGCCTCACAGGTAACACACTCACATGTAACACACTGACTTTATAGGTAACACACTCTCCTCGCATGAACACACTCACCTCACAGTTAACACACTGACTTTACAGGTAACACACACGCCTAGCAGGAAACACACTCCCCTCACAAGTAACACTCTGACCTCACAAGTAACATACTGACCTCGCAGGTAAGACACATACCTCATAGGTAATACACACACCTCACAGCAAACTCCCAAAAATAAAAATATGCACCCCTCAAAAGTAACACACACCAGGTAAAACACACACACACACCTCACAAGTAACAAACCTCACAAGTAACACACAATCACCACACAGGTAACACACACCTCACAGGTAACAGACTAACCTCACAGGTAACACACACACCTCACAGGTAACACACACACCTCACAGGTAACACACATGCCTCACAGGTAACACACACTCACCTTAAAGGTAACTAACACACCTCACAGGTAACAGACTAACCTCGCAGGTAACACACACCTCACAGGTAACAGACTAACCTCACAGGTAACACACACACCTCAAAGGTAACACACACACCTCAAAGGTAACACACACACCTCACAGGTAACACACATGCCTCACAGGTAACACACACTCACCTTAAAGGTAACTAACACACCTCACATGTAACACACACAAACACATCACAGGTAACAGACTCACCTCACAGGTAGCACACACATTGCAAGTAACACACTTACCTCAGAGGTAACACACACACCTCACAAGTAACACACACTCACCTCATAATTTACACACACTCCTCACAGGTAACAGACTCCCCTCGCAGGTAACACAGATCAAAATCACATCTTCTCATCGCCTGTATTTCTTCTGTTGTCCATTCAGAGGCGCTGAAAGCGATGGAGAAGGTAGCGAGCCACATCAATGAGATGCAGAAGATCTACGAGGATTACGGCTGTGTGTTTGACCAGCTGGTAGCGGAGCACAGTGGAGCTGACAAACAGGTACACAGCCTAAAGGTCCAGTGTTCAAGAAGCCATCAGACCTCCTGGAAGGTGAACCATCACAGCATCCTCTCTGTCTCCACAGGTAACGGAGATCTCCATGGGAGAGTTTCTGGTCCACTCCTCAGTGGTCTGGTTGAACCCTATGCCATGTCTGCGACGTCTGAGGAAGGAGCCTCAGCTAACGTTGTTTGGTGAGTTCAGAATCCCTTCATTTAGACTATCTATAAATAGAACTCTTTCACACATTTAAATGCTCCGGCTGTAGAGTAACTCCTCTGCTGTTTTCCTCAGTGTTCAAACGAGCCGTCATCCTGGTCCATCGGGAGAACAAGCTGAAGAAAAGGATGGTTGGTCTCCTTTCATTCTGTAATTTTGTTGTTTTTATTCTAAGCCAAACGCAGAAAACCTTCACATCTATAATTTTTTTTCTGTAACAGACGAGCTCCCGTTCAGCAGATCTAGACCCCTTCAGGTTCCGCTGGTTAATCCCAGTTTCGGCTCTTCATATCCGACCGGCAAACATCCCGGGTCAGTGAGCCGCCGGAGCGCATTGTGTTCATGTAACCAGAACTGCTTGGTTGAATGTGTGTGTTTTGTTTACAGGCTCAGAGGATCCGTGTGTGTGGGAGCTGGTTCACTGCAGGTCGGAGGTGGAGGGTCGACCTGAGACGGTCTTTCAGCTGTGTAACAGGTAGGGAGAACGCCGGAACCAGCAGTGTTAGGGAATATTGACAAATCTCAACCTCTGGCTCTGGTATCAAGTAGATCAACCATGTTATTATGTTGTAATAACAGATTAATTAAGATTCTAGAAACTTGTATAACTTAGATTTTTTGTCTGTCTGAGTCTATATTAGACTCAGACAGTTTGGAGCAAATTCAGGCTTCTGTGTCTCGTTAAAGGAAGTTGATGGTTGTGGTCCTTTAGAAGTTATCGAGCCCAAAAAAAGGTTTTGTCAAACTTTACAGTTTCATTAAACTCACGCAATAAGGCTGAACTTACCAGCAAATGATAAAAAGCATGAGATTTTTGATTCCAAGAGCGATACAGGCTCGAATTCTGATAGGAAAACTGTCTTAATGTTGGAGTATAGTAAATCTGGAGCTAAAGCTAGGAAAGGATTCTGATGTCGCTGTGAAGTTGATAGACACATTAGCTTATGTTCTAGCTAATAGTGCTACTGCTGTTAGCAATGCTTTTAAGTCCTATCCTCAGAGCTGTCAGTTTTGCTCGAGGCATTAAGCCGGACATACACTGTGCGATATTTTCAATCGTTGCACGCAGCTGTAGCTCAAAATGTATGATGAAACTGCAGGGTTTAAAATTTTACAGCTCGGCCAGATAGAAAAATACTCGCACGACTGGAGAATCGACCCGAAAAGGGCAAAAAAAAAATCATACAGTGTATGCCCGGCTTTACAGGACGATTGACACTGTTAGGAAGTTTTAGTAGTTGCGTTAAAGGCCACCTTCTAGCGTTCTGGTAGTTCAGTGATACTGCCAGTAGATGGCGGCAAGTCTTTTTATGTCAGCTTGTTTCTCACGGTGCTGGGGTTCCCTTTAGGCTAAAAAAAGGACCATTTGTACACTTATACCCCATTTACACTACTCTTGAAAAACCGATCCATGCCGCGACCGGTCCGAGCTCGGATCAGTTAACCAGGCCGAGTTCGGTTCTGACGACCGTTTACACATCACGCTATCTCGGTTCCTCGCCCCCTAGTGATGATCTGCGGTATTACTGCCAGTATTGAAGGAGGAAATCAAGCAGTTGGTGGCGGGAATGCACCAAAAGTTGTTTGCAAACCGCCATAAAACACAAGAAGAAGAAGAAGACTTAGAAGGAGGGAATCAAGCAAATTAAAATGGCGGCGCCCGTCACATTCAGAAAGTTATGCTTGATTATTATTGCTGTACTTCGGTGTTGTGGAGGGTCAGGCGAAGACAGTAACCTTTCATGGATGTTTATTGTTGTTTATAGTTGTTCTTCTTCTTCTGTTTTGTGTTGGTTGGCAAGCAACTTCCAGAGGGGCATTACCGCCAACTACTGGAATGGAGTGCGCAGCCAGACGGAGATGACGCGTTCTGCTCATGCGCTCTTGTTACCAGAGAACCGAGCCAGGGGAAAACTGGTCTGCAGTTAGCTCGGTCCTGTTGTGTCTAGCTGGGTTCAGTTTAGTTTGCTTTCCATTTACACACGATAAGTTATCTCAGTTACTGAGCTCGGACCGGACTCGGCACGGTTTTTCAAGGGTAGTGTAAATGGGGTATTAGATTCTTTAGCCTTATTTTATCATGGTCACTGGGTTTAGGTCTTTTTTTTGTTTAGGCATATAACATGAATTTGTACCTCTAATGAAGAAATGAGAACTAAGGGGTTAACAGAGACTATGCTGCTTGTGTTCCAGTAATTTGGAGACCAAAGCTGCTTTGCTACGAGCTTTGAGCCCCCTCCTCAAAGACCGAGCTCCTGGTGGCTCTCTGAGGGGAAGCAAGCAGTCTACCGTCGAGAGAAGCAGCACCTGGAGGAGGAGGCACCGGCAAGGCCGCTCAGACCTCCAGATAACAGCTCCAGAAAAGAGCTGCAGACCAAACGGCATCCTGGGAGAAACCTGCTCGGAGCCTCTGCTGCCAAGCCACGAAGGGTCCTCTGAGATGAGACCAAGGCTTTGCTCCCTGACGGGAGAGCTAGAGGCTCAGCTGCAGAGACTCAACTTTTCCGACGAGGCTCAAGTAACGCCGCATCCCGGGGATGATGAGAAGAGTCGTAGCTGTAGTCTTCGACGGGCTCCTGGCGTGGAAGGAATGGACTTTAGCAGCCTTGTGGGGAGAGACTTCAGCGTTCAGAGCATGACCTCCATGATTAACGAGGACTGCTTCTACGACTCGGTGCTGGAGATCCACACAGACAACATAAACCTGCTGACATGAGTCTGAAGCCCTGGTGGTGGAAGTGACTTCGACCTTCTAACAGGTCCAGCTACAACACCTTCATGTTTTTAGGGTTTCTGCATCCCTGCTGACTGGTTGCACCACGGACTCTGGAGAATTCCTCCAATTGGTTTGAACAGAAACCATCAGATGTTTCCAAATGTTGGACCTCAACGTGGTCCTAAATGCTCAGAATTTTCCCACGACTGGTTTATTTTTTTTTATTTTTTTTTTTTATTTTCTTGAAATTAGCTTCATATGAAGTTGAGAGCGGATTTAAACAAAAAAAAATCGACAGATAGAAAAAGCATCAGGTTTTATTGGCCAGGAGAAACGATTAGAAATACATTGGTAAATGGCATTTACTTATAGCGCTTTTTCAAATCAGAGGACTTGACCAGAGGGCTTTACAGTTATTCACAATTCAGTCATTCACTACGATGTAGCTTGCACTGATGGTGGTGAGCTACATCGTAGCCACAGCTGCCTTGGGGCTCACTGCCAGAAGCGAGGCTGCCGTACACTCGCGCCACCACTCGCTCTGACCACCATCAGTAGGCAATGCATGTGAAGTGTCTGGCCCAAGCACAGTACAACACTGAAAGGCGGAGCCAGGCCTTGAACCGACAACCCTCCAATTGCCGGGCAAACTCCATCCAACGCCACTGTAGCCCCACATTAAACATTTTACTCAACATTCTTATGGATCTTCAGCTTTGGTAGTTTTGGTAGTTTCTCATCCAATAATTTGGTTTTGTTCAGGTACAGTGGAGGATTTTCGCGAATTTTTGAAAAGACACGCCCTCCTTACTTTAAAAAAATATGCACATGCACAACTCTGTACCCGTCGCCCATTTCTCCTCGTGCATGCTAGGGTGACGAGACGTCCTCTTTTTCCCGGACATGTCCTAATTATCATACCTAAAAAAAAATGGCCGGGGGGAATTTCCAAATCGACTGCGGCTTTGGTCGACTAAAGTGCTACAGAACTGAGCTGTGAGCTCTAGGGGCTGGTCCGGGAACTCCGGCGGACAGAGGGGAACCAGTGGGTATTCTCGCTGGAAGAACAACCGAACCCGACCGGGTCAAGTTTGGTCGTTCCATCTCCGGCTGGCTCTGGAGCCGGACCAGCCCCGGAGCTGATGGCTCGGTTCAAATGCCCGGTCCGGTCCAGTCAGCGGCCCAGCAGCACCCCCTGCCTGTTACATATTTGCATTACTTAAATATGTAACAGGTCCAAGGCAGAGTACCTGCACACAAATAAGGTTCCTGGAGAGCCAGGCGAGCGGTTGTTTCTGTTTAGAACAGCTTTGCTCAGAAGAATGAGGAAGTAAAAAAAGATTTCGCTCTAAAGAGGCGCCCAAGATGGGAAACAACTCGTCACACTGCCCCCTGCTGGTAACATTGCATAAGTACTTTGTTCAAAGAAAGAGACAATTTTTAAGCTTTTTAACCACAACACATTTCTTCCACATAAATATAATTTTCCAAAATAAAACAAAATTACATAAGATGTGACCTTACATTTCATGAGCATCACACATAGAAGCTAACTTTCCAAAAATGCATTTTTACCACTATGTCAGACTCACCACTGGTAAGTAAAAATGGGGATGATCATGTAGGACGGCCTTACATAAACATATCACCAGAGAGATTGACAATTAGGAGGACCACTTATTTTCATGATCCACCCATAAAAAGAACATCCTCCAGCATACCCTTAAGTTCATATTTTAAACCTTGGCGCTGAAGTTCTGATTGGATTCAACACAGAAATTTATTTATTTATTTTTTTAATCAATAAAAAAACTAAACCATGTTTATCTGTTAAATTAATTGGCTTTAGCTTCAATTTAAAAATTTAAAAAGCAAGTTTCACTTCCTGTTGGAAGAAATTTATTTAGTCCTTAAAAAAACAAGCTTAAGCTCATAAAGTAATAATCATAATGATAATAAAAAGTTCAGAGTATCTGTTGTGAAATATTGAATTATATCTTTGAGTGGTTTCCATTAAAAATTATTTATTTACAAATATTTATATAGTTTTGTCAGAAAAGGGCACTGATTCTGTAAAAATATATTAAGGGTAATTATTTGCTAATATTTAGGACTTTAAAGACCAAATTATTAAAATTAATTCACTGAGTTTTGGCCGTAGAGCAGGACCTTTGTGATCTAACAACAATAAAATGACTGCAATTAATTATTTATTCATGTTTATTTGTTTTCCTTATTAATATTATGATATATGCACTTTATAGAAACATCACAAACATCATGTTTGATAAGCATATAAACCAGAATTAGAAGACAGATCTATTTTGTCTCAAACAAAAACTGGAAAATACTTTAGCATTTCTTTTATTTCAGGATATTTTATTTATTTTTTTATTCAGGAAGGATAAAAAATGCTTCAAGTCAGACATGTTAATGAAAATCTAAAGCAAACTCATCAATGTTATACTGTAGCAGGAAACCAAGTAAAGTTGTACTGGATCCCAGAAAGCTTTGATTTTCATTCATTTTCTGGTGACTTATATGTTAATGGTATTTACCATTTACTCAGATGATAAAAAAAGAGACAAGTGACACCAGCCTAATGTTGAGCTTTGGATTCTTAATTTTGTGATAATTTATACGTCGCTGTGTTGTAAATATTCTCTGTACAGTTTAGGCTGAGCTGTAAATGATTTTTTTCTATTTGACAAAAGCTGTTTTGGATCCAAATCCAGAGCTGCTGCTTCATATTAAAGCCTTTTTGTACATCTGACGTTTTTTAAAGTATTTATGTTGTCTTTCTTTAATCTTTATTTCTAATGAAATGTGTCTGTTTCATTATGAAATGAAAACATTTTGTTTTTTAAATTGAAAAATGTTTTTTGTAATTTATTTTTTTTACATCTGCATATTTCTGTAAATGATTAGGTGCTGTTAAACACCAATAAACTGCAAAATATTTTCTTGCTATAGAAAGTGGAGTAGCTGATTACCCATGCTGTTCCCCTTTGCTCCTGGGCCACTCCCCACTGTACAAGCCTGCTCCTTGTTCCTATGTAACCTGTATAATATGGAGAGTGGCGGCCGAGTGGTTAGCGTGGATCCCAGAGGTTCTAGAATCAAGCCCCACTCCCACAGACTGCCATGTTGGGTCACTGAGCAAAGACCCTTAACTCCCATACTGCTCCCTGGGCGCCGCACAATGGCAGCCCACTGCTCTCCAAGGGGATGGGTTCAATGCAGAGAGTTCATTTCGTTGCACTGTAATTTTCACAGTGTAATGACAAAAGCTGGAAAAAAAGAGAAAAAGATATGAAGTGAACCCTAGCTTATTGGTAAATGTGAGGGGATCAAAAGAAAAGTCAAAAGTGCACCTCAAACTCCGTAACAAAAATTCACTGTTTTACTGAAAGAGACGGAATAAGATGAGCATCAATATTCTGGCATTTTTCAACAAATGGAGGAAGATCATATCTACCCTGGGAATGAAACGGGACACACAGCTGACTCTCTTAACCCCCTATAGCAGAGGTCTTCAACAGGGGGTCCCCAACCCCTAGGAGGTCCACGGAGGTCGTGAAAGTTTTGGTTGATAAGACTTTTTTTCCCCTTTTATTTCCCCCTGCAATTTTTTCCACTAATTGAAATGTCTTTAAATCCACATTAACATGAATTCAACAGACTGTAGTAAACAGATAAATGGAGGCAGAAGATGTCTTTCAGTCATCAATGCTCACATTCAGCGACACACAGGAGCTCTTTCAAGCTGGGCACCGTTTCATTCACAACACCTGTCCCATCAACCAGGAATCAGAAATACTTTAATAATCCCAGGGAGAAATTACTTCAGTTACGTTACTCCATGTGTAATAGAGTGACTAAAAGACCAATTTGATATAATACAATTTGATAAGGGGCTCCACCTAGCCATCAGTTCGGGGGTCCTTGGCCTGGAAAACTTCGAAGACTTCTACCTTATAGGGTAAGTAACTGTTTTTGATCACTCAGTAAACCAGGGGGAGCACATTTAGTGATGTACAGAGTTCTTTTGGTGAGAAGTTTGTTTCGTTTTCCAGGGAGTGGATTTTAACCACAGGTGGAGCTCTGGTCAATTAGTGACCAAACATCATTACCTTTCTACAACCAAGTTTGTTTTTATTACATATGCAAATTTATCTGGAGTCTTTTTTTTTTTGTGCCAATGGTAATAAGACTGCAACCACATGATTTAAAAGTGTTAATTATAAAAAAAATCTTTAGACGGTGATTTATCTGGTTTTCTGAAATCCAGAGGAATCTACAAAACCAGGCAATCAGTGCTTCCTCTGATCCAGATCATTTTCAGCTTGACATGAAAATCAGATAAATTATTAAGACTTTATTGTATAATAACCAGCAGGATAAACATTTGTACTTTGAAGACCAATATTTATATGATTTCTGTTTGTTTGTATTTGTATTTGTTTGAAAAATACTAAGATTTATAGTAGTCATTCAAAACAAAACAAATTAATAACATTCTACTGGACTTTGTTTCCAAGTTTGAAGACGTTTCCCATCCAGGAAGCTTTTTCAATTCAAAATGTCGTGGATAGCGTTGAGTTGGAGGTTTTATACAGTAGCCCAACATAGCCTTGTTTTTGTTTTGAAAACATGGAAACCCCTTTGGAATGGGGTTCGTTTGTCTTCTTTTGTTAGCCTGCAAACCCCCATACCCATCTAAGTGTCTGAAAAGGGGGGTTGTTAAATGGAATTGTTGGCCTGACTAAATAGACAAGGTCCTCCATTCTGCTGTACAGGGGGTGGGGCTGCGATGATAGCGGAAGGGATCAACTCAATTGCTGCACTGTAGGTTTTTAAAATCGGAGTCCACCCCCTCTGTTTAAGGTTGTTTATAAATTTTTTTGTCCTTTATAATCTTCAACTTTATTTTTTTTATTATATTTTTAAGTATTTATTTTTGTCTGTTTTATTCTTCTTTTGTATTTTTTTACACTAGTGATTTCTTCGCCGCTATTTATTTCTGCCTGCCCTTTTTTACATTTCTACCTGCACTTTAGCATTTATTTCTGTATTTATTTTTAAATATGGCAAAGTTGGTCCTCCATATTAATGTAGCATTAGATTCAGTGTTTCTTAATGTGCTTCTAATATCATAATTGATGCCTAATTAAATAGATTAGATGTTTTTTTTTGCTGCTTCTAAGTTACCATCAATACACAGAGTTGAATTAAAAAAACAAAACTGCAGTAAAACACTGTTTTCTGTTGTGTCTGATGTTATATCACAATAAATGTTCTCTTGTGTTGCTCAATTACTTTTAAAACTATTAGGTATGTAACTTTAAATTAAGAAAAAAAAAATCCAGCGTGGTAAGTTGGATTATTCTGATTTTATAGTCGTGGTTTAGTGCTACTATAGAGAGACATGCCGGTGTCATAGGTGTCCCTGAAGGCAGCATGCACACCTGTTTGGAAAGTCCCCTCATTCCTTGAACCATGCGGTTCTGGCTGATTATATTTAGGTTTAGGCAAGTAATTCAGTTTACTGCAGAGTGAATTAGGAGCCTTACTGCTTTAAAAAAAAATGCTGATGTTAAATATGCATGTGGTAATGTTCCCAAATAACTAAACTGGTAGCTGGAATTGTTGTTTTGGTCTCACTTTTTCCCAAAAAGTACTTTTGTGCAGAAAAATCGACATTCACAAGACATTCTGGCTGCATGTCTTCAGGTAAGAAAATTTTTCTGTTTTTCTTCAGTATTGTGCTAAGGGGCTGTCAGACATCCTCTGTACTAAATTATTTACATTTACCTTTTTAAATTGCCTGCTTGTTAAATCCAATAAATAGATTTTACTTGACATGACTACAGTATGCTTAAAAACAGGAATTCTCTGATATTTCAGCCTCTGAATCCCTAAATAACTATAAAACGTGTCAACCCTTAAAAAAACATTAAAATTATATATAATTACTAACAGAGGTGTAAAAAGTATTCATGTTTATTACTGTAGTAGAAGTATAAATCCTACTGTTCAAAAACAATTTTGTAGAAGTTAAGAGGATCAACCTAAGCATTTTACTCAATTAAAGTGTATCAAAAGTAGCATTTTTATAACTGCTTAAAATATAAAAGTAAAAATGATAACTTGACTAATTTCTTAATTTTATAGCTAATTGTAACAGTGCCAAATTAAACTTTTCATCATCTTGAAAAATATAAAAAATATTATATTATATTATATTAAAATTATATATTATATTAAAAATATTTATTTTGGTATGTGGTGAACAACAAGTGGGGGCAGCACCGAGTCCAACCACAAAGAAATTGTCTGGATGAAACAAATTATTTTGATGGTTTAAATACCAGCAGGCCATAACGAAAATTAGCTTAAATGAAGCATAATGAGTTTATTTTTTAAATGTAAGGTAATGAAGTATTTGTACATGGTTACTATACACCACTGATATTCTCTGTAGACCAAATCAAGATGTGTAGCACACCTGTCTCTACCTCTAGTCCAGCTGGAACCGCACCTTGTACTTACATACAGTATGTACTGCAACAGCAAATTAGCGTCAGCTATAGGGGGAACATGTCTAGTGAAGGAGTAACTTATATTTTCATAATGCTGTTTGCATGAAAACTTTATTTCGGCCAAAATAATATGTACAGGGTTCCCGCGGGTCCTTAAAAAGTCTCAAAAGGCATTGAATTCTTCAAAATAAAACTACTGTAAGGCCTTAATTGGTATTAAAATGTCTTAAATTTGTCTTTTGTAGGTCTTATTTTTTAAAACATCATAAATAGGATTATTTTTATTACGATTTATTTTTGTAATCTCAATAAAACATTAAAATTGAAAACATTTTTTTTATTTAAAAAAAATAACGGCTCGCCATATTTGGTTCCGTCCCGATAGCGAAATAATAAAAGTGGCCGGGACATTTGGGAGAGGCTCCATTAACTTTTTGTCTGGAAAATATGATCAAGTAACCAAAATTGTCTCCAGCCAAGAGTTTTCTCCATGGCTAAAACCAGGGAACAGACATGAGGCTCAGTGGATTTACTGTAGTGCAGGAAGCGATTCAAGCTCAGAACGATGGGAATTAAGGCAGTGGAGTCACACATGCGAAGCACGAAACACAAAGCGTCAAAATGGAGTTACGGAGAAACAGCCGGTATTTCTCAGTTTAGTTCCACCCTTGTCTCTGCAACGCCTCCACTTATCACCAAATCAAACATACTAAGAAAACCATACAAAGAAAAATAGCTGCAAAAAAGACTTAGCACTGGTTATGTTGGGGCTTTAAAACTGATTTGTTTTGTTCCCTGCTAAAACAAAGTTTGTGAATTCAGTTAAATAATTGTTAAAATATATCTGTCATTTGTGTGTTTTTAGCTTTCTTCCTGTATGGGAAGCTTTTCAAAATTTGAAACATTAGTGCAGTGGTTTATGTTAAAATAAACCTTTGGGTAAAGTTGTCGCAAGCAGGTTTTTCTTGTGTTTCTTGTAAATTTGGTCTTAAATTTTTATTTCAAGTGGCATTAAAAAGTCTTAAAAAGTCTTGAATTTAACTTGCCTTATGCTGTAGGAACCTTGAATGTAGGTCAACATTTCAATCCTCTGGATGCGCTCTCCACCGTTTTGCTCATATGCTAGGTTGCTATTAAGGTGGAATTTTCTTAGCCTGGTGAGATCAGGATGGTCTCACGAGCTTTCAAGGTTTCACTCGCAGATCAGTCTGGCTACTTTCCGTTAAAGAAAATTTGGAGCAGTTCACCAAACGAACGTCCAATCAGTGTTGGCTTTGAGGCGGGTTGAGGTGTGACGCAACGAGAAGCGCGACAGTTCAGTCTAAAGAACATGGCGGCTTCAGCCGATGAAACTAGCGTTAGCGTGGCTATCGAGCAAGTTTTATCAGAATTACAGAGTATTTCTTCACTGAAAGAAGAGCAAAACACTGCTCTGGAGGCTTTTCTCAGAGGAAAAGATGTTTTTGCTCTTCTCCCGACTGGTTTCGGCAAGAGTTTGATCTATCAATTGGCTCCTCTTCGTCGTCGCTCTGTTAGTACGTCATATGCTTCGTTGATCTGATTGGTTTATTTGGCCCGTCTATCACCAACATAGGCCAATCAGCTAACCAGTATTTTCCCCCCTTCCCAAAATCACTTCAACAGAGGGTTTGCAGATGGATATGCGGAGCAATTCCATCTGGCGGAGTCAGGTTAGAGATTTACAGTAAACAAAATAAAAATGGCATTAAACATTTAATTTATTCCAGTTAATGTTTTTAGTGAAATTTCAAGAGCTCAATTCCAAATAAATTAAGGTTTTAATGCTATTATTTCTGTTAATTCAGATAATTTGTGATCAAAATATGTAAGAAAACATGCATTTAAAATTAGAATGAAACATCAGAAAACTAACAAAAATATTTTCAAAGAAAATTTTGGACTTAAAGAAAATTCTGAACTTGAAGGTTTTTATTTAATGTTAATGTTTTAATCAGACAAATGAACTTCATCAAAATATTTAGATTTATGTGATTTTTATAAGATAGATTAGGTTCCTAAGAAGTTTTTCTGAAGTGAATACAGGAGATTTAGGTGAACCTACAGATTTTTTTTTTTTGGTGCTGAAGGAACATTAAGCAGATTGATTCATTATATGTCCTGGAAAAAATCAAACAAGTCTTAATGATAAAAAAAAATAAATTATCTTGAATCTTTTCATTATATTTGATGTTTAAGGTCTATATGAAATCAACTCAGCACAGGAAACGCGCTGCATACGTGTGCATGTTGGTAGGGTGTGTGTGGGGGGGTGTGTGTGTGTGTGTGTGTGTTGGTAGGGTGTGTGTGGTTCAGATAAGGCTTTTCATTTATATCCCTGTCTGGCTGTTAAATGATGTCTATTGAAGCCTCGGGGGGTTTTGTTTCTGCCAGATGGTTTGATTCTTCTCCAGACTATAATTGCAGGGGTCAGAGGTCAAACTGTCGCCTTTAATCCGAAGCTAATTTCAGTCATAATGGATTTCAGATTCAGGAATCAGAGGCGCTGCATGGTTCAGATTGAAGAGGCATGAAGCCAAACAGAAATATTTGAGCTCCTGATGGGCTTCATTTTAAAAATGGATCATCAAAGCTGATCCTTTAAATCTCCTGAAAAAAATCTAGAATAATAAACGGTAGAAAGTTTAAAGTATCAAACATTTTTATTGAAAGAAACAAGCACTTTAATAATCGAATGAAGCTCACTATTCGAGAAGACTATGAATGACTTTATTGATAAATTAATCTATGGGATTTTTTTTTGGTTTAATCTACATAAAAAAAGTATATGTTTATTGTTAGTGAACATTTATAGAAAAAAAACACCTTTAATGCAATTTTTAAATGCATTGCTGATGTAAAAAGTATTTATATATATATATATATATATATATATATATATATATATATATATATATATATATATATATATTTAGTTATGTTGTATGTTTTTATTTCAACAAATGCTGTTTTAGCTTCTTTGTTCCTTTAATTTGGGTTATGTTTCAATTATCAGATTATTGGATTATCTCAATAATCCACTAATCACAATCAATCTGATTCAATTATTGTATTCCTACTATTTAAACCAGACAAGAACAAATATTATATCTGAAAAAATCATCTAAAAATATGCTCCATTATTGACAGCTTTTCTACAAATTTTATTAACAAATATTACAAATAAAAAAAAAATCTGACACTAGTTTAAGTCATGGAAAAAATGGCATGTTCACCTTGTTAATATTAGCTGCATCAAAATGAAAATAATTAATTTTTTCTTAAATTAAGTGCATTTTGTCTTGAATTAAGGAGGTAAGTGAGATGGTTTGCCAAAGGAAAGAGAAAATTTTGATTTAAATTAATAATACAAAAAAAACTGCATTGTCTTATTTCAAGTGCATATTATCTGATTATCCTATCTTAGTAAAAATACTCATTCCATTGGCAAATCATCTTATCTACCTGCTCAAATTAAGGGTAAATACAATAAATATAAGACATTTCTACTTAATTCTAGATTGTTTTCAGTGTAGTGAATCAAATGGACTCACTATAGTGACCTAAGAATAAAGAAATAGCTGGAAAGACATTAAAAAAGCGCAATAATTTTATAACCATGAGGTGAAGCATAAAAGTTGTGCAAAAACATCCTTACAGAAAAAAAGTCTCCTTTAAAATATCAACACACAATGTGTTTAAATATAAAGCACAGCAGTTTCAAATATATAATAAAAATACATTTATTTATGTTATAAAATAATTTCGTAGAAAATAAAACAAAATCAGCGGTTACAATCTGATAAGTTCTACAAAATATTTATTCAAACAGATGCAAAAAAAAAAATCACCTTGATTTAACAGAAGAAAAACTAGACTTAATGACAAAGTTAAAATTATGACTAACATTAAAATAACAGAAAACAAAAACTAGAAAATAAATAAATGTTCCATTTCTACCACAATAAAAATAAAATCAAAATCAATATTAAATAAAAAAAACAACAAATGGAGAAATTTAAAGTCTCATAAAAAGAAAGATGCTTCTAATCTGCACTGAGATTCACAAATTCTTAATAAATATGTTGTTAAAAAATGTTATACAAGCAGAAAAAGTAAATTAATATTTCCGACCTTCTGTTGAAGGTCAAAAATGGGCAGCGGAGGCTTTCTACACCAATGTCAGAATAAATGTAGGAAAATGTGAGTTTGTCCTCTGTGTGTTACAGAACAAAGGCCTGCAGGCGTCCCCTAAACCTCCAGAGAGCTGCTGTAATGGAGCGCCGCCTCGTTGAGCGACACGAAGCAGGCGGAGGTTAAAACAGGCTGTTCAGGATGTGGAACAATCATCAAACTGCTGCTTCCACGCATCGAGCCGCAGGCGAACCGAGCCGACGCGCCGGCATCATTCATTCCTCACGGGTCAGGAAAATTTATCAGAACAAAGAAAACAGTTTATTATGTCTGAGAGAAAAATGACTCCGGGTTCAACTAAATATGTCCTGATGGAGAAAATAAAGATAAAAATAATACAGTTGATAAAGATAAACAAAATGATAATGAAAACGTTTAAATTGAAAACATTCGACATGATAAAATGTTTTTAAATGTGAGCTAATTCAAATAAAACTTGTATAAAATCAATGCATAACCTTTATTTAACATTTTTAAAAAATATATTTTTATTACTTTTGATTGGATTTAAAATGATAAATAAAGGATTCCGGATTAAAGAATCATTGATAAATAAAATATTAAGTTTATTTCATTGTGAATAAACCAAAATAATTTCAAAATTTGTATTTTTTTTTTTTTTTTACTGATTCTCAACAACAAAAATTATTTCTTCCTTTTAAAACATTTTATTTTTATTTTTTATTAAGTCAATAGAATAATTACATAATAAAAATAATGATTTTATTTAATATATGGCTGCATTGAAACTTTTATATTTGTGCAAATTATAAATAAAATGTTTAATTTTTGCTTCAGATTGTTTAATTATTTGGTCACAGAAAAAAAAAATGCTGATATTCAATTAAAAGCAGATTTAATTAAGTTTGTTTGATTAACTGGATGATTTGTGCAGAAATCTGTGATAAATTAGTTTTTAATCTTTGGCTCCGATCAGCCGCAGCCTGAGCAGCTGAAAGCGTTTCCTCCATGAATCCAGTCGGTTCTCTGCGGCGCTGCTGCAGATAAGTCCCCCCAACCCAAACCGCTGCAACACAATCTGAGACGTGCCCACATTAAATCACAGACGTCACCTCTCTGGATCGGCGGTGGGAACCAGAACCTTTGTTATGGTTTCCTTTTTTTTGGGGGGGGGGAGTTTTAACACAAACACAACAACATTAATTAGCCTCAAAGCGACTCCTGCCGACTTTAAAGTTGTTTTTTCTCCCAGGGAAGCAGGCAGCAAAATGTGTGTTTATAGTTTCCCTTCTGTGTCTGCAGGATTATGGTAATAACAGGCTGCCGGGCCCTGCTGGTGGGCGGGCCGGTCCGCGGACCCTTATCAGTGTGTTGCAGTGGCCCATTCTTCACCTTGATTCGCAGCTCAGCGACTATATCACCAAAACCAGAACGAGGACGCTTCCAAAGGCACGAACGATCCCATCGGCGTTCTGCAGGACCGCCCATGTTATCAGGAACGATCGGAAATGAGCTCTTATCTTCACGCTCGGCGTCTCCCTCCAGATTCTGCAGAAGACGACCCAAGAGCGGCGCTCGCAGGTGAGGGGCGGCGGGCTTCTGCGGCGCTGCAGGTGTGACGCACCCGCCGTCAGCTCATCAGATAAGAACGCTGCTCTGCGGCGCCGTCAGAGCTGCTGGTGACCTTCAGGCTGGAGAGCAGAACCAGCTTCCTGAATGGTTCTCAGATCAGAGACGGGCTGCAGGATGGGCTGAAGCTGTCCGGTTTCCAAGGAGACGGCATGCGGAGGGGTGGTTAACCCGCCCCGTCTTCTCATTCCTCAGATGCTCGGAGCAGGTAAGGCTGCAGGTTCTTCTTCTTCTTTCAGATGTTTGGATCCATCAGGAGGGGATTCTGTCCACAGGAATAACTTCAGTCCAAGTTTCTGCTCTCAGAGGGACGCTGCTGCTTTAAAAACACCTCATTAAGTGTCAATGATCACCGATTGAGCTGCAGAGTAACTAAAGCAGGCAGCCGTCCAGCTCCATCAGCAGCCTCAGCTGTGTGTCCGTCACGCTCCCACGCTCACTCCAATTCTCATTTCTCCTCTGGTTGCAGCCCGCTGGAGCCTGTGCTGAGGAATTATCTGCTGTCGGCCGGAACGTCCCCCCCCCCTCGCGACTCAGCCATGCTGTCCGGCGCTGTTCAGATCCTGGCGTTCGCCCTGGCGCTGCTGGGTGTCCTGGGCGCCACCGTGGCCACGCTGCTGCCCAACTGGAAGGTGAGCATCAGCGTGTGGACCAGCATCATGACCCCCATCTCGCAGATGCAGGGTCTGTGGATGGACTGCGTGTGGTACAGCTCCGGTGTCTTCAGCTGCACCATGAAGAACTCCGTGCTGTCGCTGCCGCCGTCGCTGCAGATGATGCGGGCCGGCATGGTGCTGTCCTGCATGGTGGCCGCGTTCGGACTCTGCCTCGCCTCCCTGGGGCTTAAATGCACTCGGTGGGGGGGTAGCCACCGAGCGAAGGGGCACACGGCCATCGCTGCGGGGGGCTGCTTCGTCCTGGCCAGCTTCCTCTGTCTGGTTCCGGCGTCGATGTTCACCAACGAGGTCATCACCGCCTTCCTGACCACGGATCTGCCGGACAGCAGTAAATACCAGCCCGGCGGAGCTCTGTGCGTCACCTTCATCTCCGCTGGATTCCTGCTGGCTGGAGGGGTGATATTCTGCCTGTCCTGTCCAGGAAGGAGCTCCGGGCGACCGGAGAACGTCTCCTCGCCTGGCCCAAACGGCCCGATGGTGAAAAGCGAGGAGCAGAACAGGCGGGAGGCGAAAGTGGAGAACAAGGAACCCAAAAAGAAGAAAAACAAAAGCGTCCAGCTGCAGACGGAAGACGTGAGGCCAGGGAAAGCAGAACCGGTCCAGGAGCAGAGGATCTTCTGCTCTCCTTCCAGACTCCCTCAGAAAGACCTCAAGGACAACTACAGCCTCCAGGAGTACGTGTAACGCTGATGCCTGGGAGGAAATGTAGACTTTGAATTGAGGCGTTCAGGCACCCTGAACTGGGGGAGGTGTGTGCAGAGAGGGGGGGTAATTACTAAATGTTGTAAATGACAGATTGTAGATTCAGCTGAATGCCTTAGAAGCAGAGAGCAGCAAATGAACCTCTGAGGCACAAAAAAAAAAAAAATCCTGACTGACCGACTGCAGCTTCACTCAAACCAAAGCTCTGAAACAAAACAGAACCTGAAGAGGAAAACATTTCAGCTCAGACTGAAAGAAAAAAAAAGCCATTTTATTCCAGCCAATTTTCTGCCTTCTGATAAAACAACCATCGCTGTAACAGGGCCGCCACCAAGGATTCTGGGGACTGGGCTGATTTACAGACACGGCCGCTCAGCGCCGCCACAGCCGAGGCCTTTAATAACAACTCTGTGTTTTTAATGTTGCTTGTTCATGCAGCTCGTTGTATGCAAAGACGCTAATTGAAACAAAGTGAGTTTCATTCATTTCCTGCAGAAAATGAATGCTTGTGGACAGACGGCAGCTTCAGTCTGATCACTGCAGTCAGGAAAGAAACTAAGTTAAGTTAGACGATTAAATAATGAGTCAGTTTTGGAAAAAATACCACCGAAAAATTCGGGTGCACCTGAGAAGCTTAGAATATCATGAGATGCTGATTCATTTTATTACTTTAAACTTTGAGTCATATTAATTACTACAGAGGGAAAATACATTCACCTGGAAAATCAATAAATTGGTCTGTTTTTCTTAATTAGAGAAATTGTGAAGTGAAGAGGAAGGAAGTGCACAGGTGTCTTCCCAAAGTCCACAAACTAATAGTGATTACATGAACAACACTAAGGCTACGTTCACACTACGGTATTTTTTTTGTGATATCCGTTTTTTGCGTTGCCGTTCACATTTGCAAATATATGCAACTTGTATGCGACCTCCTGTGTGAAATGCAGTCATACAACGCAAGTGTCCTTCATGCGCCGTAGTAAGGGTGTAACTCACATCCATCATGGTGATTCGATTCAGTATCGATTTCCTGACCCAACGATTTTCGATACTCAAGAATACACCACGATGCGATTAATCGGTTTATGTGTTTTATTTTTTTTTTTTTTTTTTACACCTTGCAGGCTAAACAAAGTTTCAAGTTTGAAATAAATCAATGAAAGCTGTAATATTGTTATGCGTTTTTTTTTTTTTTTTTAGAAACGACAGCAAATCACAGAAGTAGAAAAGTTGAATCAAAAAATACTGTAAAAATACTGCAGAAAACCTGTGCAATGAGTGCAATTCAATACCTCGGCTCCAGACGTCCAGACGGGCAAAATAGGTTTAGCGCCACCGCAGCACGGGAGGGAGAATTGCGCCCAGGAGCAAATGGATAAAAATAGACCGGAGGAAAAAAAAAAAACATAAATCGATTCTCTTGCGGACGTGTCGATGCATCGGATCATCGGCTGTTGGATCGATACAAAACGATTATTATTTACACCCCTACACCGTAGAGGACGCAATGACGTCACAGTAGGGGTGGAACGGTTCACAAATCCACGGTTCGGTTCGGTTCATGGTTTCGTGGTCACGGTTTTCGGTTTGGTTTATGTTGATTGTTAGCCTGACATGTTGGTTGTGTCTGTTAGCATAAACAAAACGTGTTGCACAATGTTGCACTTTTATCCACAACTTTCTTTCCGCCGCCATCGTAGGTCACTCTAAATGCAAAGTGGTCCCATACAGCAGACCTATAAAGTGCTGCTGGCGCGTCTTCCAACTCCTGTTCTTTCCCACTCGCCATACCCACACAATTCTCCACAACAACTGATTTATTTCTGCTACACCCGGCTATGCTGCTTCGCTTCTTCTTCTTCTTGTTTACTACTGGTGGTTGGCTTTGGTCGCAGTACCGCCACCTTCTGCTCTGGAGTGTAAACGCTTCGCCTATGAGAAAAAGGAGCAGCGCATGAACCGAACGCAACACACGCGAACCGAACCGAGACAGTCGAACCGAACGGTTCGGACGGTTTTCATAAACCGCTCCATCCCTACGTCACAGGCAAGTGTTCTCTGTATTAATTGAAGTAAACATGGATGGTAGTGCCGGAGTGCATCTAGCCATCTTTACAAACCTTAAAAACTCAATCTTTCCAAGACGGTTGAACATAAATACTGCTCTCCGCATCGTCGCCCGCCATGATTGTTGTTTTTCTTGCCTCTTCTTCGCAGAATAGTGACCTTTGTCGGGTATTATTTTTGCCTTCAGGTCGGATGAATGCGACCTGGCCGTTCAGACATTAGGTCGCATTTGAAAAGATTAGATTCGTATCGGATTCAGGACCACATGGCCATGTGGCCTGAGTCGCATTGGAAAATATCGGATCCGTGTTGTTCAGACAGTCACGAAAAGATCAGATCCAGGTTACATTTGGGCCAAAAAATCGGATTTGGGTCACTTCAGGGTGCAGTGTGAACGTAGCCTAAGAGACTGGAGGATTTTCCTAGTGTCTCAGTGTCTTAACCCTATCCCAAAAGAAAATAAAAATGAATTAAACTCAAAAAACAAGCTTTTCTGAAGTAAAGGCGCCTCATGCTCTGAAATCTTCAATGCAAACAGTAACAAATAGCTGGTTAAATAAGAACGTGTTTTTACTTATTTTATATCATGTAATTAGTTTAGAAAATCAGACCATTTTCTTTTTTCTTTACAGGTGAATGCAAAATGTTCACATACATTACCAGCATAATAATCAGCTTTTTGCTTTTAGTAAAAGATACAGGAGGATTTTTGTGAATTTCTGATAAGACCCGCCCTCCTCACTTAAAAAATAAAAAAAATAATGCACATGCACAGCCCTGTACCTGCTCTCCTGGTGCACGCTCTGTTTAAAAGTTGCTGTTTGTATCGCTCATACAAACATACTTTCCAATAGAAGATTTGCAATTTTTCCTTTGTCAGACTCGCCACGGATGAGTGAAAATGGGGACGAGCACGTTGGACGGGCTTACATAAACATATCACCAGGATGATTGACAGTTAGGGGGACCACCTATTTTGATGATCCACCTGGAAAAAGAACATCCTCCACTATACCTTTATTTCGCTCGAATTTGGCTCGGCGAAAGGTTATAGCCAAAACTTTTTCATCAAAATTATTCTTTAAAAGAAAAATGATGCAACAGAACATAGAATGGTGCAGAATAAAAGTATAATTTTACTGAAGAAGAAATATACAGCATATAAATAATTGTTTTATACATTTCTACGACAGCGGAAATCATGATTACTCACATATGCATGAATCAAGTGAAAAACCCCTTAGTCAAAAGACTTTAATAAAGAAAAATCATAAGAATGTTGTTAAAAGTAAAAAAAAAAAGTTTAAAATTTGGACTCTGGATGGTGTAGGACCTGTGTGGACTTCCATAGTGGGGTCCTGAAAGTTTTTCATGTAAATCATGTCTTCTGATTTCAAAACAACTGCAGGAATGTTCAGAAAACAAAGAAAAAAAACCTGCTGATGTTTCTGTCACAGACGTTACGTCAAACTTCGGTAAATCACTAAGAACTCAAGGGAAAAAATTATTAAAAACAAAACTAAATTGTATTTCTTCAATGCAGAGCTTTTTTTTTTCTCCCTCTCTCCTGTACCACATCCAAAAGTTCAGGCTACATGCTTAAATTTATATTTTTCTTTGGTTTAAGTTTCCGCTTTGGTAATTTATTTTTACCCTTGCAGATGGTGTGGAAATGAAGAAACGCCACAGCGAACTCCACCGATTCCTGGAACAGTTTCCTGCAGCCAAATGTGCCTCTAGCAGCCTCATTTTGTCATGACTTTCTCAGCAAAAAATAAGAAATCACAGTGGAGACGTTGAACATGCATCTTTTTTATAGATTGAAGCAACACTGTACCTTTAAGCCACTAGGGGTGCTAGACCTGTAACTTCTAGGTGAAGCCCTCCTAAAAGGAATGGATAGCACTTCACTGTTGCAAAATTACTGACTGTGTGTCAGTAATTCTCCGCCCATATTTTTTCTCTATCACCCCTAAAACAAGTCACTATGTCATTACTCGATCCGTACTGGAAGGACGATCCGTTCCATCAGCTCATTTGCACATGTGCTAAAAGTACTTATTTTTTTATCCTTAAATCACTATAAGAATACTAAAACAAATCTTTAATTTTTATTTTATTTTTTTTTTTACATTTTCTTTGTTAAACTGCATTATCGGAAATGTTTATCTTTTATTTTTTTATTTTCTTTCCTTAGATTATGCACTATATACCATGATGTTAACACAAAAGGAAAGAATAAAGCTTCGAAAGACAAAAAAAAAATGTTTTATGTTTAAATCAAAAGCCGAAAAAGCTCGCTACCTTAAGTAGCGTAGATCCCATTTCCTGCATAGATCGGGAACAGACGAGTTATAAAAAAAAAAAGGATTTTAATGCATTTATTTTCTCGGGATATAATTTATTAACCCCATTAAATATGAAATGTAATTTAGGTCTTTTTTACAAATTAAAATTGAGCGCGACCGGATGTACATCTGGTTCAGCAAATGAACTGATGGTACGGATCGAGTAGTGACACCCTTGCAAAGCATTCTGGGATATGTCTGGTTGTGTAGTGACCATGGATGGACACAACTTTTCAAGATGCATTGTGGGAAATTTTAAGCGCATTACATTTTCATCCATTAGACGTTGCGACGCTTGTATAAAAAGTGGTAACCCCATATAGAGATCTACAGAGCGGTTAGGACGGACGTTCGGACTCAGCCTCAGTCCTCCTGTTCTAAAATCTGATAGAGAACCAATTGATATCTTGTTATTGTCGCCCCCTACTGGTGGTTTCTGGTATTTCAGCCTTTTTGCTGCAGTTGGTCATTTTTCTGACGTTCTCTTTTCCAAATAACATTTAGCGCCACCTGGTGGTAGGCAAGTTACGACACTGACATTTTTAATGTAATATAAATTCTAATGAAAATCCTACCGTAGTGAAGTCATGGGATTCCAGAAAAAATTACGATGTTTTTCATTATAGCAGTTCAGAAAAAATATATATTTTGTTCCCTGTAAACCGAAGCAGTAAACAAAATAATACTTAGAAGTATTGATATCTTTATGGAAGTATGTACTTGGGTTCACTTCTCCACTTAAACTAATATATTTCTGTTCTTTTCCAGCTCAGGTAATGTTCTGGAATAAGCAGATCTATGCAGCCACAGCTGTCAGCAGTTCTTATTGGCAGCCTTAGC